AGATACAGGAACCTGAGACTGCCCTTGATGTTAACACTGCACCACCAGAAGAAAAATAAATTGTTTCAGCCATCAAATCACTCAGAAATGTCAGAAAACAAGACAACCTGAATGCAGAACTGTTCAAAGTACATCCAGAACTTTCAGCAAAACTGCTCAAACCACTCCTCACATCCACATGGGAGGGGAAGACGATACCAAACGATTGGTCAAAGGGTGTAATCGTAAAGATCTCCAAGAAAGGTTCCCTAAAAAACTATGACAACTGGCATGGAATTACCCTTTTGTCAATTCCAAGCAAAATCATCAAATAAAGAATTTCAGATGCAATAGACAAGCAGCTCAGAAGAAAGCAAGCAGGATTTTGGAAAGGAAGAGGGTATGCCGACCAGATTTTCACTCTGCGCAACATCATAGAGCAGTGCACAGAATGGCAAAGACAGCTATATATCAATTTTGTAGACTTTGAGAAAGCATTTGACAGCCTCCACAGGGACAGTTTATGGCGCATTCTACATTTGTATGGGATTCCACAAGAAATCATCCTCATCATAAAGGGTTTTTACACCAACTTCACATGCCAAGTAGGAAACAGCAACCACACTTTTGAAGTCAAAACTGGAGTGAGGCAAGGATGCGTGATGTCAGCATTACTCTTCAATACTGTCATAGACTGGGTGATGCGAAGAACAACCGAAGATCAACCTAGAGGCATCAGATGGACACTATTTACAACAAGTAAGTACATGCAAAATTGCAGTTATATTGAATTCAAGCTCTTTTATTGACACGGTTATATTTCATTACAATGAAGATATTTTTCAATAACAGACATGTGTTCAGAAAAAGGATCAATTAGAAAATGTGTTCTTTTTTTAATGCAAACAAAGGGCCCCAACAAAACACAAGGATTAGTTAAACAAGGAGAGGGGAGAACATAAATCCAGCTGTGGGCCAAGCGTATGATGGTTAAAAAAAAACATTGGCTCAACAGAGATTATTGTGGTAAATGTCATCAAACAGACGTCTCCTCTCGTGGATGAAGTCCTCACACAGACACTGACACATACAGATGACAGATTATCGTTGGACCGATAGCGGTGCATGGAGAAAACAAAACAAAACAATTTAGATGAGAGAGACGAGTTTGTCTGCGTGGTTTGGCCGGTGACTTTGTTTACACTCATCAGCTGCTGATTGTTTGATAGGAGGTTGCCAGAGGCTTCTGAGGTCGCTCATGGTCAGCGACTGCAGGGCTAGGGTGCGGAGCTAAAGTGGATGACAGGAGACAATGTTATTGAATGTGTGAATGTGTGTGTGTGTGTGTGTGTGTGTGTGTGTGTGTGTGTGCGTGCGTGCATGTGTGTGTGTGTGTGTGTGTACCTAACAGTGTCTGACTGGGTGCGGTTGCTGAGAAAGCACAGCTAATCACTTATCTTGGCAAGTTCTGAGTAAAGGGGAAGACAGGGAAAGGAAAGTGTAGGAAATGTCAAAATCACACACAAACACACACTGAAAACCATGAGTGTTTGAGAGCTTTTTGAAAAGAAAATCTTCAATCTTTCTGGCATTTTTTGGAGAAGAACATAGCCTAAATGTTCCCCGAGCCGAGCTCCAGACTTCAGAGGAGGGGGAATGTGAAGAATGCTCTGGCTCTTCTCTTCATAATGTGCTGAAATTGGACATGATTTAATCAGAGGATCAGGTTTAATAAGCTTGGAAGGCCATCCTGACCGGTGTGTATAACCCATTTTTTTTATGCAGTAGCAAAGACACACACACACATACCCATATTTACGTCTAGAAGGACCCTCTGACGAAAGTGGTAATTACTGGCCGGGACATTCCCAGAGCATAGCCAAATGTGACTCTGGGTCAAGTAAAGTCTCTGTGTGTGTGTGGTGTGTGTGTGTGTGTGTGTGTGTGTGTGTGTGTGTGTGTGTGTGTGTGTGTGTGTGTGTGTGTGTGTGTGTGTGTGTGTGTGTGTGCGTGCGTGCGTGCAGAACCTAAAAACACCTGTTTGCACTAAATGGTTACCTTCAGAACAGCATTTCTCCTCTGATGTTTGACCCCTGTCGACAAGGTCAGGTACTCTACCTTTGACCCTGCTCAGCCCCAATTCCCCACCATCAGTCCTCTCCTCTGAGTCCTCTGTCACTTCTTTCATATTCTTCCTGCAGCTGTCAGATGAGAAAGACATTATTCTCTGCTGAAGGGAATATCACTTGTGCAAACACAAAGCTGTTTACTTTGGATGAGGCAGGTTTCACAATTCTGTTCATGCCACTGAACTCGACAGAACTTTGATCAGCGATCTCTGCTGGATGGTGTTTTGTCAAAGAGTCTGATATGTGTGTGTTTATTTTTACGAGATGATTCAAACCAGAAGTGTAGCTGTTCTCTATTACTGTGTTGTGGCTGGCCTTTTTCTCTATATACCTTCCTTCATGTTGTGTCTGTGAGCATGTGACTGCTTTAATAGGTAAATGAATCATGACAACAAATACAAGAGCCTAGCCTCATGAATGTTAAGAGCTCATAAGCACCGAAAAGAACAATTTTACGCTGATTTGCAGAGAACATAATGTGCATTCAGGGTTTTTCGGATGATTTTAATTGTTTTGGTGTTAAAAAAAAGTGTTGTGCAGTATTTAGTGTCTGGTTTAAAGAAGAGTTTACAGCCATGCTAGCAGCTAATGAAAATGCTTATGTCAGCATGTTTACGTGCTGGTGTTGAGTTTTGTTCTTCGTGTAGCAATCTAGCTGGCTGTCACTCGTAATCTCTTAACACAGAGATGAGAAGGCTAATTTGATTTGTTTGGAATTAAATGTTGACCTTATTTTGGCTCTTGATGAAAAACAAAACATAATACATAAATATTTTAGGGGACATTTAAAACAACATTCAATTCAATGCATTGGGTTTTTGACTATAAAATTAAGATGTTTGTGTTTTTTTTATGCAGCTCATTTCAGATAATATGTATTGGGCTGTTTAGACACACAGTCCTCGTGCAATGGAACACAAAAAATGTGTAGATGATGGTTATTTTTGTGGGTCCACAGAATAAAGAACCAGGTCTGCAGGTTTTTAGAAAAGTGCAATCAATGTGCAAAAACATTGTTCAGCATTGCAATAATAGTATTTATTTTCAATCCATCTCTGTAATGATTCAACCATCATGTTGAATAGGAAAGCATTGCTTGTTTATATCAAATATTTTTCATTGTTATTGTCATAAATTCAACGTGTTTGCTCATATCGGGATAACGATGAAATTGCAGTTACATGAGCCACCCAACCTGGGATTCATAGTCATAATGAAGTGCCATTTATAATACAAAGAAACCTATGTTGCAGAATATTTAACCTAAAAGGGATCAAGAGTTAAAGATGGCAGGATTTATTGTACTGAATTTAATGGCCAATCAACTCAACAGTTGAGATATTTAATTCTGCATCAACAACATGTTTGGCCGACAAAAATAATTGTGCAGTAATTACTGGAGAGCTACAGGGGAGAATACTCCGTGGGCAGGGTCATGTCCAGACATTTTTAATTGGGGTGGCTTACCTGGGGCACTGACTTATGCAGGGGTGGCATCATGCCACAATGCCCACAATGTCATGCCACTATGTGGGCACACGCACGCAAATTAATTGAACTTTTTTTCCCCCTTTCTATCCCCACTACTGATGTGCACTTGTAAGACACACAATTTGACAACATATAAATCCTCTTAGCTTGATTCTAAAGGGACTCCAAAACAAAGATGGGCAAAGTCACAATTAGGCTACTTCAGTTACTTAAATAAAATTGTACGTAAACTCTTGTACGTTTTATAACTTACAAAATACATTTATTGGCAAGTAAGTTCATTGCAAGTTAGACAGCGTGCACAAGTCTTTGCCTCAAAATTTTTATGGCAAGAGAAAAGTATTTATCAACAGCTAAAAGTTGAAAACAGCCTGAATAGTTGATTTTCACTTAAGTCCCGCCTCTGATTAGGCAAATAGCCAATCATATAAATTTTGATTTTGGGATGGCACCTTGAGTGGCCAATCAGATTTCAAGGGGGGCCCATGCCACCCCTGACCACCCATCTGGACACGCCCCTGTCTGCAGGTTGTTGTTCACCAATTAGAGCCCACAGTGGCAGTGACAAACAAAACTTTGGTACCTTTCCTTAAACACACACCAAACCATCATAAACACTGATTCTAATATAAATACCATCTTTCCTGTGGTGCATGTTTGTTAAGGTACCACAGGAAGCTATCAGGTACATGAAGTTAAATCACAACAATGTGTATAAGTTTCTCCTCTATGAGCTTCACATTTGCAGACATGTATACATGCATTGAAGCATGTGCTGACTGTCTTTCACTTCACTGCCCGTTTTTCACCCTCCTTCACATTCTCTCCTCAGTGCTGCATGTTACCCAGCATGTGACATAAACTCAGTGAAGCACACAGAGAAAGAGCCTAACCATGCCAGAGAGTTTATGACCTTTCAACAAACTGAAGCTTCTATTGAAGACTCGAATGTCTGTGGAAACATTGAGGGAAGTTTGTTTTAGAGGACGCACTCATCCATGACGTATTCCTCTATATTAAATTTGGCAAAAAACACTCAGGGATCAACACAGACAAAATAACCTGTTTGGACGTGTCCCGTAGACGCTGTACTATTTGTTGGCAGAAATGAATGAAATCATCTTAAGATGTTTACACTCATCATCCTTCACATTTGGACTTTAAAATCTAATATGCTTCACAGGCAGCATAATTTGTGTCTGTTTTAACATTTATGGCCTTTAATGCACCGATTGTGGAAGATTTAGTACGACATCGAGTGACGCAGAGAGTCCATGTGCTAACCCTAAGTGGGTAAATCTCAAATTTCAAACCAGTAAAAACTAGCCATCATTGGATCTTGTTCAGATTTCCTCGTTCTCAGTGTCCTCTCTATTCCTATAAATCGACAGTTCAACATGCTCACCTCTTGTAAGTAGCTGGTTGAAAAATGTTCCACATCACCTCCTGCCCAAATGAACCCACTTGATCCCCGTCCACAGTCCACAGTCCAGCAGCTCCGTCAACCGAAGCAGAGAGAATGAACAACCTGTCAGCAACATCAAGGACCTCCACACTTACTACTGCTCCTCTGTGAGCTCTCCAACACTGCAGCAGAGGAGGACACTCACAGACCTCCTGGAAAAGAAGACCATGTTTAAGTAGCAACACTAATTTGAGACAAAGACATAAACAAGTTTAAATAATACATTAATAATTAATCTGTGGTTATAATATAGTATGATAAACATGTGTATTACCTGGTTTTCAATCTCTAACCCATAGTTAGAGATGTCCCAGATCTGGAGCAGACCTGTGGTGTCTCCACAGACCAGGATTTTATTTTTAGGCTGATCTGAGGTCAGGCAGAGCACACGCTCAACTGGCTGCTCCAGAGCACAGAACACACCTGGAAAGATAAAAAGAAAATTATGTTTTTTTTGTCACAGTTCTGAGTTTGTTTTTTTAGGGATTTACTGTTTCATTTTGTTAGCTCTTGTTCCAATCAGCTTTAGTGTTAGACATTTGATTAATGATACCTGTAAACCTGTCTTGTTTATTAAATATATTTCATCAGTTGCATCTTTGTCCTCTCCCTTTGTTGAGTTCCCAAACTTGATACTTTTACTTCTCTGAATGCAAAGTAGAGATCAAGTAAAGTCTTGTATGATTCACATTTTTGTGTTTTAACACAGCAAGAATTTGTGCAAATTTCAAGAGTATAGTGTTTTTACTGAAATGACAAATGTTCCTTTGAGACACTTTTTTTGCCTTCCGTGTTATGTCACAGATCATCTGTTTATAACACGCTCTCAAATTCCTCTCTGGAATTTTTTTTTAAAAACATGCTGCATACAGACCTATGCATACACACACACAAACACACTGGCTCTCTTGTACACACATACATGCTCGTACACATATGCAGCAGTCATAAGGCATGAATCCCTCACCACTAAACACAGATGGGATCTGGAAAGAGACATAGTTGTGGGCTGCCAGGAATGGTTGCGGCTCGAGGCCAAGTCAACAGTTCAGCCTGACTGTCACTGCCGAGGCTGAATGTAAATCCATCTTAAAGGGGTGGATCACTAAAGCTGACAGCTGCTTGTCAAACATTCGTGCAGTTTGGTGTTTTGACTCCTCTTGTACAGCAAGATTTACATTATTTATTGTGCCTGCATCCCTCTCACCGTAAGTGTGCGTCTGTCCGGTTACGCTCCAAAAGCAGAGACAGCCGACCTGTGACGACACCAGCACACCTCTGTTTCTCATCGTTCTCCTGCTGGCCCGATGCTGCAGGAACAGGAGGCAGTCCACAGGGGGCAGCGCTCTACATGCAAACCATAAGAGGAAAATGTTATGTTAGCTTACGAGGTTTCCATTTTTAGGGATGTTTTACTATTAGTTTATTTAACACTAATGATAACTTTGTATTCATTGTGTTGGTTTTCTATTTTGCATGATGTCACCCATTTCGTAGTTATACTTCAATACAATTCAACAATTCACTTAGCAGACGCTTTTATCCAAAGCGAAATACATCAGAGAGTAAGTACAACACAAGCAAGGATCTAGAAAGAATGGAACAATGTCAGTAAGAGCAAACGATCAGCTTTGAGTCTGATTGGACACACAGGTGCTGACAGGAAGTGACCAGAGGCAAAGCACAACATTGATGGCAGTTCTTGAGAGCTCTAATCAGTATAGAAATCATCTTATAAGTCGTCGTTATCCAACAAAAACCATCGTCATTACCATCATCATCATCATCAATAATATGGAGACCATCATCATTAAGTTAGTAGGTATTCATGAAAGAGCTGAGTCTTTAGCTTTTTCTTAAAGGTGCAGAGGGACTCTAAAAAAAAGAACTGCATTTTTAATTGCATTCATCAAAGTAACAAAAGTGAAAGCACTTCAAATGCAGAAAAATGATGTCCAATAAGACAAATAATCCATTACATGTTACAGTAAAGTCCTACTGTTTTATTTTGTAGTTTTTATTTTGTAGTTCTTGTACCCAGTGTATTTTGTCTTAAGTCCTCCCTTTGTCTGGTTTCCCTCCTTTCTGATTACCCCCCCCCCATGTCTATGTAGTGTCAGTGTAACCTTCCCTCTTGTTGTCAGTTCATTGTGACACTTTCCCGTGTTCCTGTTTTGAAGTTTCCTCATGGCTCTTTTTTTTCTCCTTTTTGATTTTTGATGGATTTGTTCAAACTAAAAGAGCAAGCCTTTGTTTTTGTTTTTTTACTTTTGCCTTTTGTTAAAATATATCTTTTTGTGATTTGGGTTTTTCTCCTTATTTGTGACAGTGATTATTTATAGAGGAGTTAGATGTATGGTCCTGCCTTGCTGCGACCTGGACTCTGAGCCGACAATTTCTGCAAGTGCTGTATCGTAAATTAAATTTGATTATCCATTTGAAATTAAATCTGAATAGTTTGAAAAAATTAACTTGAACAGGAGAGAACATCCTGCTTTATGGCTGTATCAATTTATTGACCTGTTTCCTAAACTTTGCTGTTTTACAAGAACACACATCAGCTGACTGAGGCTTTTTAAAGGAAGGAAATTTTATTTTGGAAAAAAAACAGAAAAATAAAAGGTTAGGAAACAATGCTATTATTGCAATGCATTGTAATGTGTGTATGTATATCATCAGTTTTACTCTATAAAAAAATATTTTGTATTGTGAACAAAAAAAAGTTTTAAGTAGTGTATTTTACTGAAAAGTTGATAGATGAAGTTAGAATGTGTTTAAAAATGCACATTACTATGTTTTCTCACCTTCTCTGTGTCGGCCTCCGTAGATGAAGCACCGCTCCTTGTGTCTCCAGCCTCCAGATGATGACCTCTCCGTCATGGCTTGCCGTGGCAATGACCCCGAGAGCAGAGCACTGACAAACAGCCAGGATGTCTGACTTGTGAACGCTGCTGCACTTCCAGGACAGATCTGCTTTTACATACAAATCCTACATGTATGGCATACAGGTGTAAATATACATGTGCTATTGATTATGAAACTAGTAAAAAAAAAAGCATCCACATTGAAAATCTGCAGTCCAGCATTTTTGTGTAAAAGGATCTGTTTAAAAAAATCAAGAAGTGTGATGTTTTTAGGCTCCTCTTTGATCCTGAAATTGTGAAACTCTTCGCACATGAATTCCGATCTTGTGACGGTTTACAAATTGCCTGAAAGGACATGTAACTGTTAGTGTTGTCTTGTAGAGAGCAACCCTATTTCCCACTCTTGACGGATTTTGTTTATACCTCCGGGCTACAGTGTTGTGGTTAGATCTTTATAAAGACGTCACAGAAACTTGTGCAGATTTCTTGCATGGCATAGGCTGCTTTCATCTCACCAGATTTGTGTGTTAATGTGATTTTAAATCATTGGCTTATAGTGTATATTTTACTCTTCTATCGCCTTTGAATGTGTTCTCAGAAGCCTGGCTCTGCTCACAAGAGGGGGAGGGGAGGGGGCTTCAAAATGAGAAACATGAGCGTGGAGACACAGGATTGAAAATGTGCTGGAGAAGCATGAACACTGAATGTTACGACTGTAGCCTTCCAGGGATGAATGTGACCGCAGAGCAGACAGTGTTTTAAAGGCTGAGAGGGGAGATGTAACACAAGAATTTGACGTGTGAATATTTGTACGACTAAGGCTCATGCTAGTGTTTATTCTGGCAATGGCAATACTTTATCTTTATTTCTTTAGACCTTAGGGTCACTGTGTATAAATGTGGAGGTGGACGTATAATCAATCTTTTTTTTTTATGCTCTGAAAAGTTCCAGACATTTTTCTACTTGTATTTTTTTTTAAAACTACACACAAGGTCACATCCTTTTTTTTTTTTTTTTTTGCTTGAGATATTTTCTGAGGCTAAAGTCTTCCTCTGTTGTCTGCATTCTTGTGAAAAACTGCATTTTAAGCCTCGACGAGATTAGTCACTATGGGGACAGCTGTTTGTTTGGGACTCATCATGCAACATTCAGCATCTGGGGAATAACTTGTGGAGCATAGTGTGAAGAATAAGTCTGCTGATGTGTGTGTCTTTATATATTTAAGACATTGGGTCATTAGTGAATGTGTGTGCGACACTTCACCTGTCAATAACAAGCTTTTTGTGAGATATTTATTTGCAGTGGTTTTCTGTTTAAGAAGATGATGCTCTTAAGGGAATAGCTACTACTAAAAGTCCTACAAGACTTTTTTTTTTTCTTCACAGGGTATCTTTTATGTTCTTGGAAAACTGGGATATCCAATAGTTCAAAAAAGGGTGAAATTTAAAAACCAATTATGAAAAACTTCTTTCTTTTTTTTTTTTTAACCTGAGTGTTTAAAGTCTAAATTACAGAAAAGAATGATAAAGTCATTAGAAAAAGTTAAGTACCATGTAGAGGTAGAGGCTTGATTACTGGTTGCACTGTAGAGGAATGTTTTAATAAAGATGCTTTTGGTTTCATGCAGTTGCAAAGAAGAACAGTGCTAGCCAGCATCGATATTAACAAGCGAGTTCAAAATATTAAAGCCCATGTAAGGGAAATTTAGCTTTTTATGAAACAGACTGAAATTAATGATTTATTTTTATGACCAACAAAAGCAAACATCTCCCACATTCTAGCTTTTTTTTAATGCCTGAAACCTCTAATGTTCACAGGTATCTGCCCACTGCCTTATCATACTTTTTCTAAATGTTCCCAGGAAACATTCTGGATGAGTTATCTAATTGACATTTAAGGAAAGCAAGATTAGAGTTTTTAGTTAAAGCTCCCTTTGTGTCCATTTTGGCGCCCCATGTGGACGAAGCGGTACTTCTTTTACTTTTTGCTGACCTTGTCCTGTACATGTGTAGGTTGATGTTTTCTGATAAAAAAAATCTCTTGTCACTGTCTTTTTGCAGTCAATCACTAATGTTTAATAATTGTGGTGGAAAAAGTGTCCTGGTTCTTAGGCTATAGATCATCTCCCCTGACACCTACTCCAGGATTGGTAACATGTTACATGCCTTTAAAATGATTATATTGATTCTTAGTCTTGTTGAGGGTGTTCTTGTTTTCTTTTGTGGGTCAAAAAGTGTCTCTATTAATTTCATTCTGTTTGATAACCAGTTAAAAACTTCTGACCGGGACTTTAAACACTACATGAACATGAGCAGCACAAAAGCGACATAAACAAAAAAAAGTTCCTCAGAGGAGCTTTAAGGAAATGAAGTCAAAAATGATCTTAAAGGAGAAAAATCATTCAACATATCTATTACGGAAAAGTCATAAAGAATTTTGGTATAATGGTAAATATATAGGGAAGCGTTGATGTTGCTCCAAAACCTGGTTGCATTATGACTTAGATGTAAAAGTGAGGCTTTTTCCACTTCAGATTCTTTTTTCCAACCTACAGGAGATTAAACTCTGTTTTGCAGTGATACACAGGTGGACTCAAAGACTGTGATACCACTGGTTGGTAAAGTTACAGGTATAAACATTTGATTAATATATAATTTTTTTTTTTTGCCATTTTTTATGAAACTGCTCTAGCTTACCATTTTCAATCACCTCTTACTTTACCTTGGCGGCTGAAATACTGTACTGAGCGATCCGCTGGCTCCACCCCACAGCCAGCAGCTGGTTGCCATGGAGACAGGTCAGTCCAGTGACTTCAGAGTCAGTGACAGGCTCCAGCTTGTGCAAGTTAAGGCCATTCAATAAGTTCCACACCTGCCCACAAGAGAGTCTACTTGTTAACAAAAGTTTTCTTTAACTTCATGATAATGTTCACTTATATTTGATTCATAGAATTCACAGTATTTTTGTACAAAGATGTTGTGTTAAACCTTTATCGTGCCATTGCGGGCCCCTGTGATGAGCCTTCTGTGGGAGGAGTCAAGTGTCATACAGGTGAGTTCTTCTTCTCCATGAGCGTTAGAAATGTGCAGCCCCCTCCTCCCTGTCTCCACGTCCCACACACAAACAGACGAGTCGACATGTCCACTCACCACCTGTCTCAGAGAGGAGTTGTACACAGCGCAGGAGAGGGCGGGACCACTTTCAGTTTCCCGTCCTTCATCCTTTAACCGCTTGTCTCCTCCTCTTCTGGTGTCAGACAGACGGAGCAGTGAGAGGTAATCTTTGCAAGCAACGATTAAATGTGTCTGCTGCTGAGGAAGAGAAGGGCGTGGAAAGAGGAAGGGGAAGTTGCCGTGTTCTGGGATTTGACCTGGCTGCAGACAGGGGAGCTGCAGGCGGACAGTTTTCAGACACTGATGGCTGAAAATGTCCCAAACCCTCAACTCCTGAAAAAGGAAACAAACATCAACTCATTCTCTTCAATTATTTTTAATGTAAAATCTACTTTTATATAATTTAAAAAGAAGTGGCCGAAAGCAGGTTCAGAAGGTGAACATAACATCGTACTTTCATTTGTAGATATTGCAAAGGAAAATCCCTTTTCTTCACTGGTTTTACAAAACAATCCATTCAATACAGTTATTTCACAACTCTACTTCCAGGCGTCTAACTATTACAAGAAAGTGAACGTTTCAGTTTCAGCTACAGCTATACAGTTTCCTTTACTAGTTTAGGAGGCTGGTTCGATGGTTTGGGACTGACCTTGCAATTAGCTTTTTGTTCTTTTTATAGTCCATTACAGCCTACAAGATCCTCTGCTGGTAACAAACTGCAGCTCAGCCTTTTATATAACTCTGAATCAGAAGTTTTAGGCCCTCTACCCAAGTTATAAGAGATTTTTTTAGCCATTGAAAAGGTGTATATTTAAAGTTTCCTTTAACTAACTGACACCCTTTTTTAATATGAATCTTAACTTTTAAACATTTTATTATTTTTATGGATCCAATCCATTCCTTAAATCTTTAAAATATCCTCTGTAGGTTAAACCACTGCTCAGTTAATCTGATGGTTGGGGGTTTGATTCCTGTGACTAACGTGGTATCTGTTTTAGCGCGACAGTAGCTCAGTCTGTAGGGACTTGGGTTGGGAACTGGAGGGTCACTGGTTGAAGTCCTGGTGCAGACCAAGTCTGGAAATTGGTCTGGTAGCTGGAGAGGTGCCAGTCACTTCCTGAGCACTGCTCTGGAAGCAGCCTCTCACTGTGGGCAGCTCCCTCACTCTGACATCTCTCCATTAGTGCATGTCCATAGGATCCTGTTTGTGCATGTGTGTGTTTCACCCTATGTGTGCATCAACAACAGAATGTAAAATTGAATTTCCCCTCGCAGGATTAATAAAGTTTATCTTACGTTGTCCCGATATTCACTATTCTTGCTTTCTGGTGCCTTTTGTTTTGTTTCATTTCATGATGCAGTATTTACACTTGTTTTTTTCTCGTTTGACTCACAGCGTCTCTGGAGTAGCTGAAAATCTGCTCAACAGGTTCATAGATGGCAACATCCAGTACAGTGGCTCTGTGACCTCGCAGCGTCGCCACAGGACTCGAGGTCACAAACCGTGTCCACAGTCTGACTGCTCGGTTGCATCCTCCTGTCACCATCAGCTGCAGTGATTCATTGTAGTCGAAACATTTAGCTCCCTGAAAGCAGACACAAAAGAAAAAGTTGGTGCATCGAATGTTGTGCTTTGTGTAGGCAGAGTCGTACAAGAACTGGTGCTTAATACAAACAAAGTCCCACATGGGGATTTCTTAAGGGTGGGTTCATTGTTAAAAAACTTCCAGACAGTAAATATGTGTACTCCTTCATTAAAAAGCCCTCGTGAATAACAGGAAGCCTCACCACCCACTTTAATAATGTTTTTTGCAACAGTCTTACTACCACTTCTCCACACACATGGCAATGTCATCCTCTGCATGCTTGGTGATGTCATCATTACAGAAAGTTGACTTGACTTACTTGTTATAATTGTTCCATTTGATAAAACTGGTGAGGATAAATCTAGTGCTGAGGAACCTTTGAAAAGAAGTTACTAATTGCTTCACACTGAAAGAAGTTTCCACAGTTATCCACAAAAAGTGCTGCTTGAATGATACCGCAAAAATGAATGTAGTTGTACTAAAAACAAGCAAATGCAAATCGTATTCAAACTACTAGTTTAGCCTCATTTACTCCCTATGGTGTACACAACCTGACGCTGGAATAATATATAGGATTTGCCAGATAAAAACCTTAATTGCTGTAGAATTAAGGTTTCTACAAATGCTGTTTTAGAAAGGAGTGAAAGCTGATTTTCAAACTTTGCCCCACACACAGGTCAGTGTCACCCACCAAGATGACCTGTGTCAAGATGACCTTGAGCCACATCAAATTAGATAATGACAAATATCCCTTCAGACCCGTGTTGTGGTCCGAGTGTTTAGAGGACAAAATGCTTCTACTGCAAAAACAAACACTTGTATTTAAATGTGTTTAAGATTAATCCATTAAGAATATGGTATGATACTCAGTTACACTTTTGATACAACTCAACATATATCAGACTCATCTTCAACATCAGATTAAATTAAAAAAATAACCTGTGAAATCAGAATACCTGCTTAATTTTCCAAACATAAGGCCCCTGCTTCAGTGTCACATTCATGAAGACAACAGAGTTGTTGTCACTTTCTGATGATGTCATGATGATTTGAGTGCTGGGTTCAAACATCACTCTGTTGATCAGTTCCTGGTGGACGTTGGCAATGTGATGGTGGGAGACCATGTCGCTGTGATCACAGAGATCCTGTTGAAACAATAAATGCTTCATAATTGACAATCCTACACTTTTTTTGCAACTGGGACCTGCATTACACATTTCTCTGGATAATCAAGAGACTATAAGCTGTGTGTATGAATTGGTCAAGGTCGAGCTTACAGGGAAGAAGATCCTCTGCGGGCCCCTCCCTCTCCTGGACGGTCTCTTGAAAAGACCTCCAGACGGGTTCAGGAACCGCATAAGGTGGACACCTCCTTTTTCATCCCCCAGTAGCAGCAGAGAAGGTTGCTCTGGACGCTGCATTGATTAAATTCATGATTTAATTTCAGTAAAAGCAAATGATTCCACTTCAGCTAGCATCTTCAATGAATAAGTGTCATACCTGAACATCATACCAGTAACAGAGAGCAGTCGGGACACTACGAAACCCTTTGAGGAATAATGGACAAAGAATTTATTTTAAATCAGATTTTTTGGGGTGCAAAGTTAAAAATTTTTTGTTAAAGTTCAGTTAAAAACAATGCAAGCAATCAATATTACCAAATAATTGGACATCCTCAAAAACACTGGCAGCTGAGACGTTGACAAAATGCAAGTCCCTGCAGTCAGTTGCTATGGCAACCTTCTGGACATTGCCCATATAGACGGCATCAGTGGTCCAGCCTCTGAATCTCCTCCTGTTGGCCACTTCCTCTGTTGGGTCTCCGACAAGCTGGATTAATTAAAGTTTGAAAATAGAGAGTGTGGGTGTGTTGGGCACTTGTGTGGTTTTTAAAAGTTAGTCTGTGATGTCACTCACCCCGATGCTTTTGAGGATGTGTAGGCTGCTGTTCCAGACTGTGACTTGACCTCCCTTACTGACGCTAATGTAGCGGAGTGGAGCAGGACGGGAAATAGCGAGCACCCGCACTGTTGGCTCCTGCTGGAAGGGAAAGAGTTTAAGAATAATTATTTTAAAAAAGGTCACTAGAGATATAAAGGGTTACTTTAAGACAAGGAGCATTGCAGAAAGAAAGCACATAGGAAGACTAAGCAGAGACAGATTGAAATATCCACTTAGTCTAAAGCATGCTTCAAGCTACTTTTGGCATTATCACAATAGTATTTAGCCGGCTTGCATCTTTATTTAGTACAATTATTTAAGTCTACTGTACAATATCAGACTGTAAAAATGTAGTACAGAAAACATAAAGCTGGTTTAATACAAAACCAAACTTGAAATTGCTTTTCCATCCATTCATTTTACTGCTCTTAGTCTTTTTAAATTCCTCCTCCTTTTATCGTTTAACTCTTCAGCTCTCTGTTGCTTTATTCATTTAACCAATGTCCTGTTTATCCCTTCTTTTTATCTTCATTCTGTGTTTACAGCCTGTGATGTGATGTTGTCCCACTCTCCCTCAATTTTAATTTTGTTCTCTCCTGGTTGATTTTGAACTTATTTTCCTTCACTGTACTGAACTGCCTCTCCATACCTGCCTGTTGAATCTATCTTATTCCTGTTATTTCCATTTTTACAATTTTACCCTCTCGGTTGATCTATGTTCTGTTGTTGTGTTGCTGTATCACAGCACTTTGTATTTAAAGGTGCTACATAAATAAAGCAATTATTATTATCATCTACAGTTTATGAACAGGTGTCTCATGTGAACATTTTCATTTTCTCTTTCTTATATCTTTCTTTTGTCATTATCATTTAACATTGGTTTATTGTCAAGCCAACATCCACCATTCATCCTCATTGGCAAAACCTGAGACATGTGGATTCTGACCTTGTTTTGGGAGCAGTGTCTGACCTGCAGCTGTGTGTCCAGCAGAGCTGCTCGGGGGATGGAGGCGCGTTCTCTTTCAGTGTACTCCAGCAGCAGGTAGGAACACAACTGCTGCCAGTTTACCTGCCCACTGCAGCAGATATCTACCTGGATACAAAGCAGTTGAAACACTTTATCAGAAACCATTAAACTGTTTTTTTTTTTTTTTTTTTTACAATACTTTCACAAATACCTTCCAGTGTTTCTCCTTACCTCATTAAAGAATCTTTCCACCCATGTGTCCACAGTATCAGGACCCATCACAGACCTTATGACCTCACAAAACTTTTCTGAATTTATTCCTTGCTCTTCATCCCCTCCTCTGTTCCCTCCACTCATTATTTCTGGTCGGGTTTCATATCTTCCAGCGTTTCTACAGGTAAAAGCTTTTCTCAAGAGCTGCAGGTGCTTGGAAGACAGCTTCTCTGCGGGGCTGACGCCACAGGCTGGATCACTGCAAAACAGGATTGTGGTAATGATCATCTGAAGTTAAATGTCACTTCTATATTAGTACAGCTCTTCTTATACAGGCACCAATATCAGAAATTCCTCTGATAAAACTTAAATGAGCTATTGGGTAGAGCACTGACTGGCTAAATGTTGTTTCTTTTTCAAAACAATAGCCTACTCAGATCTAAAGTATCTATTTTGTCTGAAACTCGCAAATACTGTTTTGGAAAAAGAAAGGAGAACTGACTGAATCAAAAATAATCATGCAGTGATAGTCAATAATACTGCATATATGGGAGATATTTTCCCAACATACATTTTTAAGGCCAATTTTTTTCAGGTTTCAAATGTTAATAATTGAAGCAGGTGAAAACACAGAAGCAGTAGATTCTATTCAGAAACATGGGTTCTACTTTTTGGATGCTTTTTGATGCTTTTTTCTCATAGTCCACTGCACAGCTCCTACATTACACCTTTTGTACATTTTGTGTTTTTTATTTTCATTTTTTTATATATTTTATATTTAACATTTTTAAATTCTATTTTATATATTGTAATATCTTCTTATACTGTATTATTTAAGTTGTTGCTAGTTCTGCTTTATTTCCTTGTTAATTGTTTAGCACCAATACACCAAGTCAAATTCCTTGTGTGTGTAAACGTACTTGGCAGTAAACCCCGATTCTGATTCTGATTCTGATTCTGAAAGTCTCATGCATCATGGGGGACTGTGAGCTGACTGCCGAGCTGCATCTAACATCAGCTCAGCTTGCTTTTATGTAAGGGTTTCTTCAGTGTTCGGAGCCAGGACATGAAACAGACACATCCTCACAGGTTTATGTAGCAGCTTAAAACAGCTTTATTGTTTGTTAGTTAATTGGTCTGTTTGTTTGTTTGTTTGTTTATTTGGTACAGTTTTGGCCAACTGGTGTCACCAAAGAAAAAACAAAGGTTTCTTTACATATACATTTTTTTAGGAAGGAAATATAAGACTTCAATCGGGAGAGCACTATTTGAATATTTGACACACTGCAGCATGTATGAGCAGGCTCTATATGGGTGGATTAGGTGTGCATGCAGGCCCAGATGGACCAAGCATTAAACATTTAGGATAAAGGAAAGACCCTGAGCTGAGGTAGGATGGGGGCCAACTAAAAACGAAGCTCTATCAAAGAATATTTGGCTTCACAGCATCACTTCTGCAACTTTTGACTGTTTATACTGCGTCTTGAGGTGCCTGAAATCGATGCAGAATAGAACAGCGCGCCCAAGTGGCAGGACAGGTACAACACACTGCTCCTCCCAAAACATCTAATTTCCTAATGAAGTCTTTATGACGCAAAATGATGTGAAACATTTACAAGGGTGTATCTTAATTGATCATTTGGTCCTGAATTGTGAAGTTGTTTCATGTACAGCAGGGGTGCCCAAACAGTCGATCGCGATCGACAGGTAGATCGCTGACTGATTCTCAGTCGATCGCGAGATGTTTTGTCAATATAAAATACAATTGTAAAATAGAAAACGATACCTGTGTTGGGAGCCCAAGTATACTTCCGACCTGTTTGTATTTAATTTTTCATTTATTCATGAAATTGCTGCGTGCACGAGAGAGCGAGCGGGGGAGCGAGAGAGAGAGAGAGCGCGCGCAAGAGAGAGTGCAGGCATGCGCAATGACGTGCAGGTAAAACCGGGGGGGTAAATGTTTTACCAAAAAGTCATATATAGAAACTATGCAACGAGTATTAAGCGCATTTGATGAAGCTGCAGCTACTTTTCTCTGCTCCTCTCTGCTGTCATGACTGTGAGCATGGCGGGGGACGAGACACACCAACAAACAGCGCAAACGCAAACGCACACGCGCACACACACACACACACGCACACGCGCACACACACACACACACACACACACACACACACACACTTGCACTGGAGCGCCAGCCACCACGCGAACCTTTTTACTTTTTACTTTTAGTGCTGCAGCACACAGTTGATCCGTGATCTTTACGGACCGAGGCGGGAACACACGTGATCCGGTCAAACAGTCGGTTGGACTTTACTCCGTTCACTCTCACCGTGTCTGCAGCTAATTTAACAAAAGCAACATCATCTCACAGCAGCCTGCTGTAGTCTGTGAACATCTCCACACAGATTAAAGTTGTTTGTTGTAAACTAAATTAAGGGAAAACATATGTGATATAAATACAAACGTAATATTAAAATGTAGCCTACCCTAAAAAAGTATGTCGATATTGCATTATTTTTTACAGAACTCTCATTTATTATATCTGATATTATTTTCTGTTTGTTGTGTGAGTATTAAATGCGTTTGTAGGCTGTTGGTAAAGGCTATGGCTCACTATGTGGACTGGTAGATCTCGGCAGACTGGCAACTTTAAAAGTAGATCTTGGTTCAAAGAAGGTTGGGCACCCCTGATGTACAGAATGAGTGAGTGGGGGCTCATTGCAGTTTGGGGTCAGTGATTAAACAATCAACGGGTTCCTTTCCCCCAGCAGCTCCTGTGTGGTCCTGTTGCTCAGGGAGACTGTACTCACTGCTACAATAAGTCACATGTCTCTGCTTTGTGAGCGCTGTTCCTGGTCCATCAGAACAAAAAGCAAGAGTGCTCCATAACATTATGGAACCATAAAATAATTAAGTAATAAAAGTGCATTATGTGTGCTGGATGGGGAGTGTAAAAGTATCTGAAAGACTTGTGTAGCAGGAAACAGGAGATGGGTTGAGAGGAGAGATATATCTGAACCAGGGAGATGCAAACTATGAACTTAATGAAATAAATTAGAGACATTGACAACAAGACACGCATAACGAATACAAACATAGTTGAAGTTGTATTTTTTGCATTTGACAAGATACAGAGAAAACACCACATGAAAAGTCAGAAAAGACTCTTTCTAATGAAGTACAGATCATTCACAGCTGAATAGTATTGGATCTTTTTATTCATCATGATCAGATAAATAAGGTAAAGCTAAAAGAGAACTCACCAAAATCGGCCATGTGGTACCTCTGTCTCGTAAATAATCCATGGATTTTTTATTTTTCTTAAAGTATCCATTCTGAAGACCTCAACTTTATTGATTACTGATACTCATTTCCTGTTGAAATTTAATCCAGATGGTTTGTATTTCATCTTTTTAAGTCCATATAGTGACAGACGGAAGCTGAGCCAAAATATTTCCTAAAGAGCTCAAAGGAGAATCTGAGATCCTCTAAGCTCTCCTCAGAGTCTGAACATGCAGGCCCTTTGTTGATGTCCGAGAGAGAGAGAGAGAGAGAGAGAGAGAGAGAGAGAGAGAGAGAGAGAGAGAGAGAGAGAGAGAGAGAGTTACCGGGATAGCTGCAGGTCTGCTGGGGGGAAGCAGAAAGGCCCTAGAGGTTAATCATTTAAAGAAGCAGAGTAAGTCTGGACCCAGGAGGGTTAAGATTGGTAACTCTTGTAGAGGAACAAGATCATCTTACATTTTAATGATTCTTTTATGTTAAACTTTAAGGATTACTGCTTATTCTAAAACCATCAAAAAGTAAAAAAAACATGAAGCTGCACGGTATGTTTTCATGTTGTTATAGCTTCATACACTTGTGCGACTAATGTAGATTAATTATTTTCTCAGCACTCTGCTCTCCACTTCACTGAGCATGCAGAGCTCCCACACTGTTTCATTTAAGCACCATGTCCCAGGTGGAGTCTGGTCTTCTGGGCAATTCTTTGTCCCTTGGTCTAATACTCAACTTCTGCACTCAAGCCGCCTGTATCGTAACAAAAAATGTACCTAACATGATACATTATGCAATAGAAATATAACTAAATGTGTGCAAGACCCATTGCAACAAGTAAAACAAAATAGTCAAAGATAACTACATCACTGACTCATAACAAATCATTTCTTCATGAGGACACTTATGCAGCACTATTGTAGTACACTGTAAAAAAAAAAAAAAAAAAAATAGTTGTCATAACTTAAAAAAAGTTAGTGTCCGGGATGCATTATAATTTTAAGTTAACTGAACTTAAAAAGATAAGTTGAGATAAATTTGTGATTATTTGAAGTAAATACAATTTTCTAGTCAAATAAACTTGACATCAAGTCAGTTGTACTTAAATCTTTAAGTTAACAAAACTTTAAATCACAATTCAGTTCCTGTGAAATTATCTAGTTAAGGCAACATGGTCTTTCAATTTCTTTTGACTTGAAATCAAAAATTAAAAATACTTTATCAAAAGTTGAATCCACCTAAAATATTGAGTTAACCCTTGTGTCGTCCTCAAATGTATTTATATTTTTCTGCTGTGAAGTTAAACAACTTCTGACTTGTTCAAAACTAACAAACTTCAATTATTTTCAGGATTGTTAACCTTTAAATACAAGGTTATTTTTCTATTTTGTTTATGAGTAAGGTCTGACTATCATATATCATACTATTTTTTATTGATTATATTTTGTGTAAATAGAAGTTAAGGACCTAACAACCAAATTTATTTAGTGGGGTAGAAGTATGAGGGTGCAACAAAATTGCAGTACTCAAGCTAATATAGCCTACAAGTAGCTAAATGCTTTTGCATACTGTATTTTCACCATGGGGACCAATGATACATAATTCACTCTCAAGGACATCTTATATGATATTAATTAATACTCATGTATTATGTGAGAAAGACTTCATTTTTTTTCAGACAACTTGTTAGAATAAGGTAGCATTCATAAACTGCCTTTCAAGCTGGGATTGGTGCATGTGGCTGTCAGATATCATGTCATTAACAGGTACGACCACTAGATGGAGCCACAACTAAAATATTTGACCAACGCTCGGCATCGCAAATACTTAGCATAACATGAAGAAGTGTAGTCATTTTTTCCCCTTTTGACAGCAGTAGGCTAAATGTACGAGACACAAAAAAAATAATTGTACCGTCTTTTTAGTGTGAAATATTCTATTAAGGAATGAACACTTCTATTACAGTGTCAACCATGTACAGAAACATTCATACTCACACGGTGGCAGCAGCAGCTAAGGTAATTGACTGACTCAAAGGTAATTAGAGCCCCGTGATGACCCGCCTTTATTTCCCCTCTTCCTCACCAAACGGGACCTGGAAACACAGTCAGCCCTGCCCCGAGAGAGCTGCAGTGATGGGGCGGTGAGGATGCCAGTCAGTTGCTTTAAACTTTTAATAGAACATTCCTAAACTTTTTTTTTTTCATATAATATAACATTTTGTTTAACCTGTCTGGTGCCATGTTGCGAGTCGCTGTACAATCGGCAAAAAATCTGCCTAAATATAGAGTTGGAAGTCCGGACCCAATAGCCTCTGTCATCTTTAAAGGTAAGTCTCAGTTCAAAAGTCGTTTTTATATAACTGTCTATATATAAGGGTCTTATATAAGTGGAGGAAGGGTGTCTTGAGCTTAATAATAACTGTATGGCCTTCATAACTTTTAGCTAGTATGACGTCACTCTATGGAGACCAATGCATTGTCTGAATATTTAATTGGTATCTCATGCAATATTTCAAGCGTACAGTTTAGCTTTCCGTGTCTTCTTTTTGGTACTTATATGCATTATTTGGAAGTTCTTACGATTCAGTCCTTTCAAATGCAACATAGAAGAAAGGTAAATCAGCACAAGTTGTATTGCACAATTATAGACTCCTGTAACATGTCACAGCATTACCAAGTTGCAAAGACAGCTGAGAAGGGATCATGCCAGGACATGAAAGATTCACAGACAGAAAATAGAAATCTTTCAAAGAGGCTAAAACTAGAATTATGCTCTTGTATTAAAATGATATCAGATATAGTTCTGTGTCACATTGATATTTGCTCCTGTAGAGGACACAATCCTGGTACAGTAAACAGCTCTAGTCGCCTGCAGCTGTTTTCTTTGTCATCATCAACATCAGCCACAGGTGTGGCAGCTTCTCTCTTTTCCTGCTTCCCTGTAAAGGCTGAAGCACAGGACTACACAACAATAACCTAGCAAATAGGAAATGGGTGAAATAATTTCAGGTGTATTCTTTGGTTTGGCAACTTTGTTCTTCCCAATATTTTGAACTCACATACCCAAAAGTAGTCTACTGAGACTGTTGACCTTGACCTTTTAGTGCAACAAGATTTACAAATAAATAATTTCCCTTTCAGATGAGAAGAAGAAAACAAAATCAATTGACAGTGAGGTGAATCCTGTATGGAATGAGGTAAACCTCCAGTACGCACACACACACACACACACACACACACACACACACACACACACACACACACACACACACACCTTTGATTTTTAATTAAAGGTAGTTAAGATCAGCTGCAAAGTAAAGCAGCAATAATAGATTTACTTCCTACATATACATCCCCATTTGAAATAAACTAATAGACATCACATGGTAAATACATGGACATGGATAATCATCATATGACTGTCACAGTATGGAAATGTACCATATCCATAGATTATATAATAAATGCATGTAGGTCTTCCAGACAAAAACAACTGCTGAAGCATCTCATCTCTTTTCCCCTCTTTCTGTTTTGCAGTTGCTTGATTTTGACCTGAAGGGCACAGCGCTGGACTCCAACTCCTTCATAGACGTGGTTGTGAAAGATTATGAGACGATTGGGAAAGATAAGTAAGTGCAGTAAGACGCTGAGACTGTCACTGAGCTCCCTGTTAGCTTTTTGTGCAACAGAGGGATCACAGTGATGAAAGAGGAGCTTGTGTGCCTCTCCTTACGGAATCACAGAGCAAATAATTCTTGTCCCAACAACGACTTTTATGGAAAAAAAAGTCTGTTTAACCAGCAGGTTAGGCAGAAGTAGACGGAGGTATAGTGTGTGTGTGATTTCTCAGCTGTGTAGATGTCAGATATTAAATACAACTTGTTAACATGCACACAAACGACAAGATCTTTTGCAGCACCTTGGCTGCAAAGTTATTTGTTCACACCAGAGTCCACACCCACTGGATAGGATACATATCATTATTAACTGACACAGATATACACAGGGAAGATAAGTTTCATAGCGACCCAGTGTTTGAGTTATGTAGCTGGCTTCTGCTACCCCCTCACACCCTGCTTGCCATGCTGGGACTTGCCGGGCTGTGTGGGCTGCCTGGTCCTGATTGGGCAACAGTGGTTGGATGAATTGCTGTTTGTCTTCTTTCTCTCTTGATGGGAAATGTGTGGCACTCTTTCACTTGGGGGTGGAGGGGGGGATGCTTTTTGTAGCCTTTACTAGCCAAATATTTTGTCATAGTGCAACAGTACCAAACAACCGCTGAAAAACAGTTTGAAAATAGATGCAGAATGTGTAGTTACAGCAAAGCAGTTCAAGACTTTTGCTTCCAAACCCGACTCACATATGGGACCAATCCAGTTCAACCCCAAAGAATGTTTCCTCAACATCACTAATTAGTGCTATCAAAGGCTTGTCTATGATAAGAAAAACAAGCATTTTAAAAGTGAGTGTGTGTCTATAATTTATGTGTACAGTGCAAGGAATATATTCTTTCTGCTCAAATGCTTTGCCTTGTAAAAAGTTTTCTCCCCTATGCATGGGACAGTCATAACTTTGTGGGAGGAGCTTGTTTCCAGCCCACGAGTCCATGTTCAATTGAGTCAAGTTTTCCACTGGGCTGGCCCGTCTGACTCGCTCCCCCTAAAGATCTACACAGAGGGAGCAGAACGAGGAAGTCTCTCCCTCTCTTTCTGCAAAAATAGTTAAACATCTGCTGTTATGGGTAATCCCTGTCGTCGTGGCAACTAGTAGAGAGAAACACAATCAGTGTTTTCTGATTAAGTTATATTTTAAATTGAGATTAGAAGATTTTCTGGGTCAAAGTTTGCAGTGTTTAAAACAATAACATCATCCGGATCATTAGGTCTGCACATCTGATGTATGACCGGATCTTAATAACAGTCTATTTTATGTAAATCTTTTTTTAAGGTTTAAAGAAGTAAAGCTGTTTTGCATACAATACATGTTCTGGTACAGTATTTTAGAAAAGTCAAAAAAGGACTGCAGCTGTCCTGCATGCTAGCCGCCCTGTGGCGGTGAACTGGAGCCCAGCGGTGCTGTGAGTCAGTGCTAACATCAACACACTAAAAAGCCAACAATGATCATTCTGTCATTCTGATAAATCGCAGGTGATGTTGGTGTCTTAATAACAGCTCGTTTACTGTGAATGTATGTAGTCACAAGTAAAGTACGGGTCATGCAATGAATCGTAATTCAATTCAATTCAATTCAATTTTCAATTCAATTCAATTTATTTTTGTATAGCGTCAACTCATAACAAGTGTTATCTCAAGACACTTCACAAAAAGCAGGTAAAATACCTTACTCTTTGTCTGTCAACCAACGATCTTGAGGAGCCTAAGAGAGCTCAAGAGCTCTCAGGAAAGTAGGTGGTTAGTGACTGAGATTTACAGATAGATACATGCAGTAATATGATGTACTGTATGTGCACAGAGAGAGGAGCTCAAGGTGCCAGTTCCCCCGGTAGTCTAAGCCTATAGCAGCATAACTAAGAACTGGTCTACACCAGCACCAACTATAAGATTTATCAAAAAGGAAAGTTTTAAGTCTATTCTAAAAAATACAGACTGTGTCTGCCTCCCGGACCTCGGCTGGAAGACGATTCCAGAGGAGAGGAGCCTGATAACTGAAGGCTTTACCCCCCATAGTACACTTAATTAAATCATAATCCTGATGTGAGCACATATCACAAAAGCTTGAATTTATCCGATTACAAAGAAGAAAAAAACAATGTTAACGAGCAATGCTTTATCACTTAGCTTTGCATATAGTTTGTTTACTTGATGGAGGGAGGTGTGTTCACATCATTCTGATGCAGTCAGATGAAACTAAAGCTAGCTAACACTTACCCTCAGATTAATAGGTGCCAATGTAGTGGTGATTCATTTTGAACATTTAAACATATCAGCAAACACAGCAGGTAATTTGTAAAACATAAAGAACAGCAGATAGATGTCAAATCTGTGTTTAGGCACTCTTGAATTTTAGTTTTTTTTGCACTTCATGTCAGTTTCTCAATGTAGAGCAATCGCCTATCTCCTCATATTGATCAGGCCTACTGCATCATAAAACTCTTGATCTGATGTGAATTTCATCATTCCTCGGTCCTTGATCATTCCTCCAGTAATCAATCGGAAACAGATATTTCAGTTTGAAAAAGTTCAACCCTTTAAGTGGAACTAGAAGAAGTAACGGGGGATCTTCATGACCTGTCTGTGTGAACCATTGACATGTGTACACGGTTTTGTGTCTATATTTAAGTAGATACATTGATATATTTCTGAAAATAAACAACGACTTTGATCTGCAGATTTTGCCCGGAGGATAAATCTGGATATTAGTTAAGTGTTGTGACGCTATCCCCTGGCCAACATGAACATCTTATGGTAGTTTTTATATATGTAGTCATTGTGATGTTTTTCTTTGAACCCCAAAATGACAACCTCATGATGGTGCTAGATGAAGAGGATCACAGATTTATGCTCTGGGGACCATGAATGTCTGAATAAGATGTGATGGCTATCCTTACAGTAGATGTTGAAGCATTCCAGCGTGCAATAAAGTGATGAACCCTTCAATCCTCTGAGAACAAAATGCTGGCATGGCTAAAGGTTAACTTGGTAAAATGATTCTGAAGAGAATATTCTGTTAAACTGGTTAAATATTGTCAGATATCTCTGGCTTGGCATGTAGCTGTTACATGTTTTTCTTATCCTATTAACATTTAAAATAAATAAAAGATTTAGATAACTTTACATTCAGAATACAGTGTTAACTTTTACAACAGGGTCATTGAGCGGTTAGTATTTTGATAACACTTACATGTACAGTAAATGAGGCGGCCACTAAATCTTATCATTACAATAAAATATTAACAGACTCTGCACGGAAACATTTGGAGTGGTAAACTACAGGGTTGAATTCTTCTGGGAATGCAGCTGCATGAAAATTCACAACCAAAACTATTTGAATTGATAAAACACACAGAGTCAGACATCAGGAGGTTTCTCCAAATATTTCACCCACTTTCACCCACTGTGTGTGTCTTAAACACTTTGCAGCCTGGCAGCGCTGAAAGAAAAATGAGTCAACAGCAATAATCAAGGATCTGTGATCGCTCGCTGATTTTCACACCCCGGTGAAACTTCTGGGACGAGCAGTATCATCACACACATCCATGTGAGAGGAAATGAATACTGAAAGTGAAAGGGAGTGAACTTATGGAAATGAATCCAAACCACAGACACAACGCTACACACTATCCAAACAGAGAGGCTCTTTGAATAAACCCAAAGTGTACTCCCTACTTGAGTCCTCATTTGAGTAAAACCTGAGTAAATACAAATCACAAACGTACAGTTTTATAATAAAATATTCAAAGATCAATACAACTGCACTAAAAGACATAGGGCCTGGGGATTTAACACTGGAGCGAGATTAACTATATCACAGAGAATCTGCCAGCTATAGCCTGTGATACTACATAGTATTATATATATATATATATATATATATATGTGGGGTATTTTACTCTCTAGGTGCCTTCAAAAAAACGCTTATACCAATTTAAAATCTCAAGATTATATACAAAAAGTATTTCCATTTCAAATGAAACCATATCACTAAGTGAAATGAAAATGAAGTTAATGTGTAAAAATACTTAAATGGTAACTTTGCACATGACGACAACGTTGTACCTGTCAGCTGCTCTTTACACACACATACACACACCTGTGTGTGAAGTCCAATTAGTGATAAAGTGAAATGGAAATGACTTGTATTCTACTTCTAACCTTTCTTACAATAAATTACCGGTACTGTATTTAATAATTGTATGTTTTTTAGACTGTTGTATGAATTTGTGTTGAGCGTGGCTGTGCACTATATTATTTGCCTTAACCACCTCATGGGACAGTGGGGGTTCCCAGTCTCTGGCGCCTTTATTTTGGGGGGTCACAAGCTGAAAGGTTTGGGAGCCCCTGAACTAGAGACTGGTAACCCTGTACCCCTGTACAGACTGTGGTGGCTTGGGATTGAGAATATTCTTTAAGTATTATTACAAGATACTTCCTTTTCACCTGAGAACACAATGCTGGGTGACTTGACTGATTTGAACCCCCCCCCCCTCAAAAGATAAAAGGGTTATGTGAGCAAAATGACATTACAGATGCCAAAAAATGCATCACGTGTAGGCCTACTGTAAGTGAATAGACTAAAATCCCCCTGATATTATTCAGTGGATCGATGAAGTTATTTCATGAGGTCCATTAGAGAAAAAACCCAATGCCTTTAGAGGCTGTTTCATAAGACTTAAGGCCCTTAGATGGCACATGGAATAAGTTAAATACATGATGTCATTTATCTATTCTTTTACTTCATCTTTTATTCTTATGGTTTTGATCTGTGGGTTAGGGAGGAGGGTGGAGGACCGTTCACCATGTGGGAGAGGGGAGAGGTATGTATGTGTATTCTATGTTGCAAAAAGAAGATGTATCTCTTGTCATGGCTCTTTGTCTGTTATGTTATATGCTACTCTTAAAGTATAGTGGGTGGGTGTCTGTCTCCAGGACCCTGACTGGTAGATGATTCCAAGGGAGAGTGGCTTGATAATTAAAGGCTTTGCCCCCACCCCCCCCCCCCCCCTTTTACTTTTAGAGATGTTAGTCATACTGACAGCACAATGTTCAAGATCATTTATAGAGCACTGTGACCTCTTGAAGATATGATGCTAGATGACCACAAACAGACCTGCAGGTGAGAAGGAGGATTTTAAATGATCTTCAAGATTATATGGCGCGAGTGCAGAGAAGTTTGTCAGACTGTTGTTCCACCAGCTATCAAAGTCTTAAATACAGGGACTCAGTCAGCAGTGGTGGGATGTTTCCCTGTGACTCATCCTGTTTTGGTCATTGCTCTGTGTGTTTGCAGGGAAAACAATGAGGAAATGTGTCAGTCATAGCATGCTTTCCACATTCTTTTCACAATATATGCAGTGCTGCTGCTGGTCTATATTGTATGTACATTTTGGAAGATGTTCAGACAAGTGTCGAGGCCTGTTGGGGTCTGATACAATCATAATGTGTGACTTATTCTGTTTTAAATTTGAATGGTATCAGAGTGTAGTCAAGCCTGAAAACAGAGGATTTGCAAAATGATAAATATCTGAGAAAGAACAGCCATGTTGAAATCCAGCTACATAACCAGCCATCTTTTTCAATGATGTTTCCCCTCAAACACATTTTACCTTAATCCAAATTCTAATCTTATTAGCAAGCAAGTGCTGTACACCCTGTCAGCTTCAAGACCACATACCAGGTTTATAGACTCATGGAGAATCCCTGTGTCAGTCTCCTTCCTGATTCAGAGCTCTGAGTGCAGCCAAAAAAATATCATCTCCTCAACAAAACTCTGTCCAACTTTTTGTGTTGTGAGGAAAATGTGTCTTACTCAGATGTCGGAGTAATCACATGTGGAAGATTTTTTTGTCATTCATTATTTAACTTCAGCTGAGTGAATTATAATCAGTATTTTGTGTAGTTTGCAATTTACTTGTCAATGATTTTATAAAACTTGCACTAGATCGTTTTCACCTTAAGTACAGTCCTCTTTTGATTTTTGTTCTTTTAACTTTGTCTCTTTGTTTTTCATCAGTGATTTTTTTTCATTAAATGTTCCTGTACTGATAAGTGCACCTTAAATCACTTAATATTCATTTGTTCAGCTTCTTAAAACATGGTATTCATCTTTTCCTCGATTTGTCCCATGATTGAATTTCTTTGCCGACCAAGCAAAAGTTGGTTAAAGGGAAAATCATCGTCTTGAATATCTTGGTACTATTGTTAATCTCCAAGTCTTTGTCAGTGAGTCTTCAGTGATGTCATGTTAATGTAGAGTCCGTAGTGAGTAACTGTTTCTGTCTCGGGAAATTCCTCCTCTCAGGATCACTGCCAAGAAAACAAGTCCACCCAAAGTACAATGTCATCTGAATGATGCATCGCAGTCCATTTGCTACACTGTGTTACTTCAGTGTTATTTTGAATTCAATGGATTGAAAAGTAATGTAATGCCGACAAACATCCACTGAGTAGTTTACGTCGTAAACTATTCAGTGTGATTTTACAAGGTATTCAGTGTTTACGAGGTACATGTAACTAAAAGGATTCACTCACAATATTCTCAAATTTTGAGCTGTTTCAGAGAGGTGTTGATTCAACGTAAGGACTATTTTGGAGGCTGAAGAACATATTGTATTGTTATATAACCTACACTTGAATTTATCAAAGGTTTGAAAAAAGAATCAGAACACCTCCCTGTAAAATAATGGTTGGATTTATTGCAGGATTGATGTCTTAGACTATATTATAGTGATATAGAGCGCCACAGGAATGAGTCCTAAAACCAGGAAGTAAGTTAGCATTGTAGTGCAATGGGGTCTAACGTCTAAAAGTCAATGGGAATTATGAAGTGGTTAGACGCCTGAAATAAGGTCTGAGGTTAACACAAGCTTAAGAGATGTTGGTGTTTTGTTAGACCACATAAACTATGTTAGGTAATACCCACACTTTTCACAATTTTGAAGTTTTTACGTGTCGTTGCTAACAAGTGGCTAAATGTGACTACAGTGGTTGTCGGGGACATTAAACGTCATCACACCGGACACAGAGGGCGGGAACTCTCTCACTAGTCTGAGATGTCTCCTGTAGGTTTAATCTTTAGGTTAAGGTGAATATTATGTTAGTTAACTATTTATTAAGCTATGCGGATTAGTATATCAGAGATCGTCTGATTTTCTGATTTTCTGCAATGATCCAAAATCCAATGCAAAAATCCCATAGGCAAATTCTGGTTAGGCCCCATGGCGATGCTACTTCCGGGTTGGCCTACAAAAATACGTCATATGGTTTGTTCTGCTGAACTGGCAGCCGTTTGTTTATGTTGGATTAACGCGTCAGTGTCAACATTTAAGAAGAAAAAAATGTATTTTGTCTGTATTTCTGCCTTAACGTTAATCTATAAGTGTTTAAGCATAAACAAGATACACAATTAGCAGTGTAGTTTTTCGTGTGCCCGCCTGGAGGTAGTGGCAATTCTAAAATCCATTGGGGCCCAAGGCAAAAATCAAAATCAAATGGGGCCCCCTTAAGGAGGCTTCCTACTGTCATTGCAAAATTTTGCACATTATGGGGTCGCTGCTTTGGTTTACATTTTTTTCTGTCCTCTGGGGCCCCCTACTGGTCTGGGGCCCCAAGCAGTTGCCTGAGCGCGCACCACAATAGACCAGGAGCAATAACACACTGCTTTGGAACAATTTATAAAATACTTGTATAAAGAAAGAGAGTCCAGTGTTCATGTAGGCAGATCTCATGTACACTGACACTTTCCAACATTTTATTTTGTCCTTGAACAGCAAAGAAGCAGTTAACAGAGGAATGTGACGTGTCATTTCAAGCAAACGTGTCAAATCAAATAAAGTTACACTTAATCGACATCTCCATTACTCACACGTTGTTTGCTTCATTAGATTTCTGCTTGGTCACTTAAATGTTAAAATGTTCTGAAAAATGGCCCTGGTTCTGTTTTCCTTAGCTGGAAATGAAAGGATCTTCCAATGCAAACAAATGGAAGATTCGGTCATTTGAGTTCTCTCTGCAGGTAGTCTCAGATGATCTAACACTGAATCACTGGCAGGTAGCTTCTGTGCAGTGTTGACTGTATGCTGCCTCATGGGGTGCGTTTGTTTGTCTGAGCAGGCAGGGTTTGTTAGCTCTGGGTGGTGACCTTCTCTATGCCCCTTTTGTGAATGTGACTTCACTGAGCACACAAGCAGATTGAGTTTCTCGGTTGTCTGTAACTACATTCCTGATGTGTTGGCTGACTAGAAATTAAAGTTGAGTTTTCACTTGGGGACCCTTTTCCTCTGACATCACTCTCGGGTTGGAAAGCTCAAATGTTGTAATGTGTTGTACTGCACTGTTTCAGGTTGAAAGTATTTTAAATGTAGGGAATATAACAAACAATTATCATTTAAAATGTCCAGGTGTATCAGTTAAAACAACATATGATAACCAGTTAAGCTACAGCTAATGCTAACATTCAGGCAACGCCTAGCTTACATTTCCCTTTGATAACAATACAGTTAGCTAGGAAAAAACAGAATGCTAACGTCACCTTATGGCTGTGAAAAATTATATATAAATAAACTTTACTTACCTTGACTATACTTTGTTACAACAACTTATCTTATAACTGATTGTTACCATTCAAAAATGTCCACCAAGCTAACATTACCATTAGCTAGAAAAAAAAACTCAAAGTGTTGTATGATATGATAAGACTTTTTGAAAACAACTTTTGTGAACCCGTTAGCTATCATCAGACAACAGCTAATTTTAGTAATCAACCATCTTTTCTAGCATTCAGCAGTACCAGAAGTGTTTTTTTTTTTTTTTACGTATCCCAAGCTGAGAGAAATATTAGCTAAGAAGTTGTTGAATGCTGACATCACCTTTTGTCTGACTGTAGCTGATTGGCTAACAAATATGTTGTTTAACAGTAGAATATGGTCAAATGTCCTGCATGTTTACCATCTTGTTAAATTTGATTAATAATCAGGAAATGGTCATACTGATTGTCAGATTTGTTAATAAAACTTCAAACCTATGATACAGCTCTACAGCATAAATTTGAGTTAGCCACCTGAGCATGATGTAGATAGTAAATAAGGCTACATCAGAATACCAGAGCAGGATTATGACAAACTGTTTTTTATGCATCTATGTCGCTGCAGTTGTCTTTTTGTATGTCTATTTTACAGTGTTGATACTGATAAATAAATAAATAAATACATTTTCCACTTAGTCACAAGGTATACACATTTAAAGTTACGCAAATAATGTATCTGTCAAAATCTGATGCAAATCTGTATTTGCTCAAATGTTTTCTTGCTTTATGCTTTCCAACAGATTCCTCGGGTCAACTAAGATTTCATTGAGAGACCTCGCCACTGGTCAAGTGAGGTCCTTACCATCCAAAAATGTCCCTTTGGTCAACGAGAAAGGACAGAACATCGGGGTGAGTTTCTTTCTGTTTAAAGTAAGATATCTGTCTCCCTTTTAAAAGAAATAATTTACCAGGAAATCATCTTTCCAGGCTACTATCGACCTCATGGTGAGCTATGATCCTCCAGCCAATGCTGCTCTAAACCCCAACGACCCTCAATCAGGAGACGCTACAGTGGATGCTGGTATGTTTGTGCCACTCTTAGTGTGATGAAGTTGAACTATTTGCAATATCTATGAATAGAGGCCGGTCAGGTGTTAAATCTCTGCATCTTGTTTTCCTGCTGGTCAGGTGGTGGAGGCGATGAGGGGGATGAGAGTCAACCAGATGGGGCCCAGAGCAGTGCTACAGGGGCCCCACTCTCCCCGGGACAGTCTGGCAACCTCCAGAAGCGGTTGGCAAGGGCCCACAGCCGCCACCGACTAGTGAATAAGCCTCAGGACTTCCAGGTCAGTCTGGCGTTGACACATCTATGGACAGAAACAACAACTATCGGCTCAGCATACAACTTTGTTTGTTAACATGAGTCAAAATGATCAGGGCGTTGTTAGGAGACCATCAGTTTACAGTTTGTTAGTGTGGGATATGCACGTTTTTAGCTACAGTGCATTGAATCATTTTTCACCCTCCATGTACTTTTTTGAAGTCATTTTGAATACTTTATAATTTCCTCACTTCCCGCTTTGTGAATCAGGAACTGCTTTTGTTGTTCCATTTTATAAAATACAATAAATCCATTTACATTTGCAGTTAAAAAAGACAACATGTGGACAGTTTGAGCAGGATGAATACTAATATGGGGACACTGTACTGTTCTGAATAAAAACCTGAATAACACAAACAGTGGATGCTTTTGTTTGAAAATTCAGAATAATCTGCATTCATTGCAGAGCTGTGTACTGGGTTACCTTTGATGGTCGATTTTCACCCTTTGTAATCCCTTTATATGATTAAATATGTCTGGATATTTGAAAAGCTAGAAATAAGATTTAAGAGATTTGATGAACCTGTTTTTCCCCACTTGTTTCTTTAAAAAAAAAAAAAGAAATGTCGGTTTCCAGTTGCTTTTATTTCTTCTGCGATAAGGCTTAATTAGGATGATTTCGTAGTACTTTTGAATGAACGTAGGTTTCTCTGGGTCAGAATAAGTTGCTCTCATGCTGTCATGGTTGTCACACCTTTATCCACGCTGGATCCTGTGACACTCGGGTGTGTTTCAGATTCGTGTCCGGATCATTGAGGCCCGTCAGTTGCCTGGCAACAACATTAAACCAGTGGTGAAGGTCAGTGTGTGTGAAGACACCCACAGGACGAGGATAAAGAGAGGAAACAACCCTTTCTTTGATGAGGTACTCGCATTAACCTCTAAAAGTTTCTAATCTGTCTCTTACTTAAAACCATTGGGCACAGTTCAGGGCTGAGCCTTCCACAACAGAAAGCTTGTCTTCTGGCTCCAGTTTGAATGTGTTCCTTGTCTGTCTTCAGGGGAATTTATATCTCTTTTTATATTTTCATAGATGTTCTACTTCAACGTCCACATGCTGCCATCAGATCTGTTTGATAAGAACATCAGTTTCCGGGTCAGTATACATACGTCTTTGTGGGGTCACCATCCTCTGTCACTTTGTATAAACATCAGTCATTGAGTCTTTAAGCCTTTTCCTTTCAGATTTATAACTCTTATTCACTGAGGGCTGACAGTCTCGTGGGAGAATTCAAGGTATCTAGTTTTACTAATTCTTAGCATGTAAAAGAATTTGGTTGATGCCTTTTTTTTTCGTCTGACTGATCTGTTGTTCTTCTCACACAGCTGGACGTTGGTTATGTCTATGACGAGCCAGGTAAACCACAGATTTGTATTTCATTTACATTTTCTCTCAGGATGCTGTTGTTTGAAGTGTGCCCGGGGGCAGTGTTGTTTTTAGTTCCTACATCGCTGGTATCATTGATTCTCAACATTACAAGTTTGTTTCAAATAAAACCTAAAAAAAAATCATAATTTAAAGCAACCATAAAAATAATTTTGGTATTAACATGTGATCACTTGACTACTTATACCTCATAGGGATGACCTGACAGAACCCGATTCTGTACTTCCCCTCAGCTTTTTTAATTTCTCCTTTATTTTAGCAGGAAGGACCCACTGAGACCTAGGTCTCTTTTCCAGGGGTGCCCTGCAGCAATACAAAAATAGAAACAGCACAAATATAAACATATTAACAGTTAACAAGAATAGCATCTAGACACTGAAACACATATTCACACATGTAAACCATGTCCATTTAAATGAATTCACATTCACAACGCAGTCTTTGATGGGGGGGGAAAAAAAACAGTCTTTACTCTTTAAGAAGACACTATCCAAAAAAGTGATCAAAGGGGAAACAAAAGGCTTGAACGCTTCTCACAGGGGTCAAAGACGAACTGGCACAGAAGGAAGGGAAGCTACAGACTAAATACTAGGGTGAGGGGGAAGACAACGAGATGGAGCTGGGAACAATCAGTACGGGGCAGACAATCACACAGGAAACACATGAGGGCAGGAAGTGAAGGATCTGTAGGCTGAAGTTAGTGACCCAAAACAGGAAATAATACAAGATAGAAATAAAAACAACCTAAGACACTGAGCTGGACATGACAGTTTGGACACAAGGTCTTTAAAAACACTGTATGAAACAAGAGAGGGCAACTTAGCTGTCCGCTGAAGGTCATTCCACATACTGGGTGCAGCAACACTAAAGGCAGTCTTTCCCCATTCAGTTCTAAACCTCAGTGTTTAGTCAAGTTATCCAGTTTTGAGACCTAGTTGAATGGCTCGATATGTTTATGGACAGGACAGTAGTAAAGGTAAGCAGGGAGTTTACCTAAATAAACAAAATACTGTGTCGCTTTCTTTGTTGACCCAACGAGGACCAGCCTACAAAACGATAGAGATCACAATGATGAGTTTGACATTTGTTGCCTGTGATAAAGCGAAGAGCACTGTGGTATAAGGCATCTAAAGGCTTCAAGACAGAAGCAGATTGTGTTTCCATATTCCAAAACGGGCAGTATTGTAGCCTGGACAATCTTTTTTCTATTATGCACTGTTAGGCAGGATTTGTTCCTATACAAACGCAACCAAGTTGCGTTCTTATTTTTTCAGATAAACAAGAAATGTGAGACCTATATGACAAATCATGATCTAGCCAGATACCTAAATATTTAAACTGTTGAACACACTCAATGTTTACATTGTCTACTGTTGACAATGTGGCATTAATGGGTTCAACGTTCTGTCTTGAGAAGATCATATATTTAGTTTTTTCGGGGTTCAGTTTCAGTTTAAGATAAACAAGAGTTTGCTGGAAAGAGTTAAAATCGGTCTGTAGCAATGAAAGGGCTTGAGTATTGGAGGGCGCAATGGCATATAATATTGCATCGTCAGCATACAGGTGAATTTTACAGTTTTCAGTATTTTCTGCAATGCTATTTATATACAGGACATTGTAAACAGAATTGGGCCAAGGATAGATCTGTGAGGTACTCCTTTGTTGACCTCCATGTTTAACACATTTTACTGTCTTTTAGCTTCTTCTTTGGTTCTTCAGCTGACACCTTCACTGTTTTTTCTTTTCTTTTTTTGAATCATAGCGAAGGCTAGGTTTTGGCTGCAGCAGGCAGTTGATTTTAAACATTGCACGCTACCTACACAATATCACACACCAGACAAAGTGAATGATCTGTTTGTGAACATAGTGAAGCACTTCAGCTAGCAGCTTTGGTTGTACTTATTTTTTCCAGCTTCAAACACTGTCTATGTGCTTTCAATTTCAGCCCATTGTGTTGTGAGGAAGTGGCTCCTATTAAATGACCCAGATGAGTCCAACTCTGGGGCTAAAGGATACCTCAAAGTCAGCCTCTTCGTGGTGGGGACTGGAGACGAGCCTCCGGTACGAGGCCAACACACTACTGTACTCACTTTAAATATGATGTTAATGCCCCTCACTCTCTCACATGGAGCCCTTCCATTCTTTGACTTCCTCACAGGTGGAGAGAAGGGAGGCAAATGATGATCAGGATGACATAGAGAGTAATCTGCTGCTGCCGGCTGGTGTGACTCTGCGGTGGGCCACACTGTCACTGAAGGTGTTCAGAGCCGAGGATGTTCCCCAGAGTAAGACTGGCTAAGCTATTGTTTCAAATCCTGTTGCACAACACAGAAACCAAGACTTACTGTTCATGTGTGCACTCTTTCACACACAGAGTTGCTTTTAGAGCAGACGCAGAGCAAAACAAGATGCAACCTGATAAATGCACATCCAAAATCCGTTCTCTTGAAGTTCTCTTTTTAGTCCTTTGATCAATTGTTTGTACAGTAATATTGGTTAGTGCAGGCTCAGTTCTAAGTTTGGTCTACTGTAAGTCAAATCTGTACATTTGTATTCAAAGTTTTATATCAAAAGTAAGATTTACCTGTTTGTCTTAAGTCTTTTTTTTGTCAATCGCATGAAATGTATATTTTAATTGAATGAATCCCTCTATGTCATTGATTGTATCCAAAAAAAACCTCAGAAACTTTAATGACAAAAACATACATTTGACTCGTATCCATGTCCATGAGGAATTGATGATCAGTATTTGTTGTTCTTATTTTTAGAATATTTTATTTTGCCTGTTTGAAACTTCATTTCTGCACTTTAGTGAGAGTCTGATATCAGGCTAGTTTCTGTGGTATTGTTTGACATTTAGTTTGTCGTGGTGGTGTAGTTTTCAGACAAGTAATTACAGCTTTTTACCACACAAACAGACACAAAAACACACAAAAGGACAAAATATGCATTTCTGTATATGACTTTCAGACATACAACATTATATTATTTTAAAAAGTCCATCTCTATTCAATAAGACATAATAAACTTAATAAAACTGTCGAAAAAAAATTAATTCGCAACAAACTGTTTAAATTACATCAAAACCTGCAAGTCGAAGCAGAGCTTGTTAAAACCTCATGGTGATAAATGTCCTGTTTTCTCATTTCAGTGGATGATGCATTCATCCAGACCATGAAAGAAATCTTTGGAGGAGATGAAAACAAGAAGAACCTGGTCGACCCCTTTTTAGAAGCACGCTTTGCTGGTAGAAAGGTTAATCATAAATCATTTTTTTAGCTATAATGTTACATGTAAGCATGCTGGGATTTACATTATTGTTAAACTGAGAAACTCTGACCTTTGTTTTTTGTTTTTTTTGTCCCTCCAGCTTTGCACTCAGGTTATTGAAAAAAATGCAAATCCAGAATGGAACCAAGTGCTGAACCTTCAAGTAAAGGTGAGTCGTCTCATTAGAGAAGTTATATTCTGAAAAAGGACTCTTAGAAATGACAAATACTTTTTTTGTCTTTTTTGACCTGTGATTATTTATTTTCTGAAGTTCCCCTCCATGTGTGAGAAAGTCAAACTGACAGTCTTTGATTGGTGAGTCGAACAATATTTCAATATTTATTATTAAAGTGATCCAGTGTGGAGGACTAGACAGTGTCATTTTGTTCTCCTGGTTCAGAAAGTTGTTGACAACATTTTTGCAGTGTAGTCAGCTGCGTGTAGGAGAGTGTGTGTATGTGTGTGTGTTTGGGTCTGTGTGTGTGTGTGTGTGTGTGTGTGTGTGTGTGTGTGTGTGTGTGTGTGTGTGTGTGTGTGTGTGTGTGTGTGTGTGTGTGTGTTTGGGTCTGTGTTTCCATTCCAAATCACTAACCACATGAGAATAATGTAGCAGCATATGATTCATACAGTGGACACCCCTCCCTTCCTCTCAGTTACACGCTCAGGGATCCTGTTGGCACTGTCTCACTTTTTTTTTTTTTTTAAATCATTGTTAGTCTGATAAATCAGGTCCAGGAAGGCTGCAGGGAAATGAGTGCAAGACGAAAGGTTAGAAAAACTGTGTGTGCCCGAGGTGTTGAAAACACAACAGAGAGAAGAATTATTTTCCTTTTCCACCTTCTGGTTAAAATAACGCTACAGATTTCAGTTATTTCTAAGTCAGCCATTTAAGTCTGAACCTTGTGAACGCAGTGTAGAGTCTGAGGGTGTTGTGTGTGATTTCAGGGATCGTTTGACAGGAAATGATGCCATTGGCACAACATACCTGAACCTGGCAAAGATAGCCTCCTCTGGTGGAGAAATTGAAGGTATTAATCTTTTAATCTTTTTTAATTTATTAAAACACAACAAAGAGGCTAAGAGGTCTGGACCTGAGAGCATTTCACTGAAACACGTTTTGTACTTTCTTTTTTTTTATACTTTTATTGCAATACATTAACGTTTCCGATCATTGTACTTACACATATTTGCAATTTTTTTTCATATTTTTGACACCCAGTGGTGAAAAGGAAACAATACATAAAAATATATACGCAGTATGCAGATTCAAAATGCATATAACAGAGGCAGCATCCAGAGCAAGCTTTGTGCCTCCTTTTTAAAAGCATATAGATAGTCAGGTTAAAGTTACTGTTGAAGAAATAAATCGTTTTGTACTTCCATTGTATGACTGTAATAAAAACATCTTTTGTTACTCTATTGTGCGTGTGTGTATTCACCTCTAAACAGTACCTGAATTATCTTTTTTCTCCTGGTATAGAGGAACATGCAGGGATTGGGGAAATACCATCATTTGAAGGTTCAATTGTGCTCTTTGTTGCTCATTGTTGCATGACATGTTTGCATTAAGCATGTTGTGCAAGCTAATGTGCTAGTTCTTTATGTGTTTATACCATTAAAGCTTCCCTGTGCTCTGTTTTGACATTGGAATTTAAGTGTTTCATCATGTCGTCATTGTAGCGCCTCTCACTTTGCTTACCCAGCATTCACCGCTTCTACCTTAACGTGCCCATCACCACGCCTGATATGCAGCAATCACCAAGAAACTAACACTGCAGCTTTGCTCAGCTAAGCTTGAGTCCCATGATAAAGAGTCTAAGCATATTTCCATTCCTCCACAGCGAACACGGGTCAGTCTGAGGTGGGGTTCCTGCCTGTCTTTGGACCCTGCTATGTCAACCTGTACGGCAGCCCTCGAGAGTTCAGCGGCCTGCCAGACCCCTACGAAGACCTCAACTATGGCAAGGTAGTGTGAGAGACTTCCAGGATCTTACCAGCCAAGTCCAATGACTGTCATTCTCTTTATTTCTACCTCTGTCCTATGGTCCCTTTACTTTTGATCTAACAGTTCATGTGTTGTCTTTTCAGGGGGAGGGAGTGGCGTACAGGGGCAGGATCCTGGTGGAGCTGTCCACTAAACTAGAGGGCAAAGAAGACAAATCAGTAGACAGTATCCACAGTGATGACATCCTGGTGGTGCAGGTTAAATCTATTAAGAGAAGTACAGACCTGGTTACAATTTGAAACCCTGGTCCATGTTGTTATGTAATCCTTAAACATGTGTAATGAAGTAAAACTAAATGTTAGATGTTTTTCTAGCTTCCGTTTCTGTCTGGATTTTAATTTGTCATTCTTCTTTAATGCATATTTGTTTTATGATTTGTATTGTACTTCAAGGGTGAAGGGGAGTTTGGTTTGAAGTCATTTTAATAATGTGAATTATCTTCGTTCGATACATGTTGTATGGAGGAGAAGGAAAGGGAATGTGAAAGTGACTGTGTAAGTTGCTCAAACTGAATATAAATGTGTCAAAACGTCTCTACCTCTGTCTTCTTCTCTACATTAGAAGTACCAGAGGAGGAGGAAGTACTGCCTGTGTGCCGTCTTCCACAGCGCCTCCATGATCCAGGAACCCGGAGAGCCGATCCAGTTTGAGGTCAGCATCGGTAACTATGGGAACAAATTGGACACCACCTGCAAACCCCTGGCCTCAACCACTCAGTATAGCTGCGCTGTGTTTGATGGTGAGTAGAATGATTTATTTAAGACTTTAATTCAAAGGCCTGCTTCCTGGTTTTGAGGATTTAAAAAAAAAAATGGACATCTTTTAGGTAATCACTACTATTACCTGCCCTGGGCAAACACAAAGCCCGTGGTTGTGGTTACCTCGTTCTGGGAGGATATCAGCCACCGCCTGGAGTCTGTCAACATCATCTTGTACATCTATCACCGCCTGGTAATCCTACATTATCCTCTTTAACCCTTTATTATTTAATGTATTATTGCCTTATTCATTATTGCCTGTTTGCGCTGAACTTCTGTCTGCTACGTGTGTGTGACTGTGCCAGAGTCCGAGACAGTAGCGATGACTCACTTAACTGGTTTTACAATCAATTAAAAACTACACGGTTAATTGAACCTGAATGCTCCGCTACTCCGTGTGTGCGTTCTCACTCACAAAACACGCACACACAGAGTAGCGGAGCATTTCAGAATCAGAATCAGAATCGGGGTTTATTGCCAAGTACATTTACACACACAAGGAATTTGACTTGGTGTATTGGTGCTAAACAATTAACAAGGAAATAAAGCAGAACTAGCAACAACTTAAATAATACAGTATAAGAACATATTACAATATTTAAAATAGAATTTAAAAATATAAAATATAAAATATAAAATATAAAATATAAAATATAAAATATAAAAAATAAAAAATAAAAAACACTAAATGTACAAAAATGTAGGTTCAATTAACTGTAGTTTTTAATTGTGATTAATTGTAAAGGGCAGAGTGACACCAGCTAAACGTGCCGTCCCCATCAAGCTACGCTGCATTAACTTTCCTATGGCAGAGGGACCAAGCAGCGAAGCTTTGTATCCACCGAGTAAAACGAGGGAAGTTGGCAATGTGGGAGCATTTGAGGTACACCAGACAGAGCCCCTAAGTAAAAAACCTGCCAGAAAAAAAGTTGGGGATAAAGTGCCAAACAGCAGCAACTGTGAGATTATCACTCAGCACTGCACGCCTGAGTAATGATACTGCGATGTTTCTCCCTCCTATAGGTTGATATAAAAGGAGGGGGAAAAATCAGTCATTTTTCATTGATCTTTTTTTTCTGAATTATTTGATTACTTTATTTCAGTGTTTTTTTTTAAAACAGCGTTAAATAACACATATTTTCTGAACACTGTTCATGTGATTTCATTCATGCGTAATGTTGGGAAATTAATGCAAACTAATTGAGATAATACCTCAGACTATAATCAGGATGTCAAAAAACCCAAAACCCTTTTCATCCGAGGTTTAATACAAAAGCTTAATCCTCATCTCTACTTTGTTGTTGTTGCAGAAATCTAACCTTAAGGCCTTTAAAACTGGAGTCCTGGCAAAAATGTCCGACAATGAGCTGGTGGAGATTTGGCTGAAGGTGCTCACTCAGCTGATTGAAGACTTGGAAAGGTAAAAAGAGGAAATAGTGTTGAGAAAGCAAGATTAGGTTTTATGTAACATTATTTAATCCAATGAAAATCAGATGAAATCATAAAATGAAGGACATTTTGTTCATTTTTCACCCCTTAAAAATAAAACACAAGGCTGGTTTCACAGATACTAGTTTGCCAGGGTTTTAGGGTCAACTGATTATTTAATGTAATCTCCGCACTCCTTCAGTTTCCCCATGCCTGAGCTGGAGGGCCGCTCCAACCTCACATCCCTGGACGTCCAAATGAAGAAGCTGCGAGACAGCGGATTGACAAACATCAGGGATGGAGCTCGACGCATGAGGGAGGAGGCCAGAGAGATCAGAGACACTCTGGCTGATCTGGAGTCCTGGACTGAAAAACTCAAAGTGCTGGCTGAAGAGGTACGGACCATCAGTTCTGTCCATTCAAACGAGATTGAAACATCATAAACTGTCGACTCATCATTTGTTGGCCTGTTTTTGTTTCTAGCCCCAAAACAGCATGCCTGATGTGATCATCTGGATGTTACGGGGAGAGAAGAGGGTCGCCTACAGTCGTATCCCCGCTCACCAAGTCCTCTTCTCCACATACAGCGAGCAGGCCTGTGGTCAGCACTGTGGCCAGATGCAGACCGTCTTTTTACAGGTAAGTGTCTGAAGTATAAAAAATAATGTTAAAGACCAGGGGAAAAAAAACTTTATAGTGGTGATTATCTTCATCAGACTTTTTTCAGCTTGTAGTGTGTATGCTGAATACATTATTTAAAACTCAGGGGAATTGTCCAAAGATACGACTGTTTTGGGAAAATATCTGGACAATCATGGAACAGATTCTTGGACAACTGTTACCACTTTATTTGGGTGACCTGCCCAACGAAATAAAAAGAGGTGATAGATACCTTCTGAAAATATTTTCAGTAGCAGCAAAAAAAGCAATCATCCGTAAATGGTTTAAAGTGATCCGCCCACAGTAGATAACTGGTTCGAAATGATGAAAGAGATTCACGAGATGGAAAGACTGACTTTCTTATTGAGAGTAAGAAAGGACTTGTACAATGCAAAATGGTAAAAATGGAGACAATATTTGACAGATCAATAGATAAGGTGCTAGGTGGTTTGCCCCACTCATTCTGACAACTTTATGTCGTTTACCTCGCTTTCACTGTTTTATTTTTTATTTTATTTTATCATGTAAATTATGAAAAGCTATTTAAAGACCCCTTGTGAACTGCACTACTTAGGTTATGACCTAAAATTGAACATGTCTAAATGTCTGGCAATTATTCTGTTGTTAAGTTGTTGATGTTTTTCTGTTGGAAAAATAATAAAACATTTTAGTGGCAAAAAACTCAGGGGAAGCAGTTTAGTACTGTTTCTCTGAAATCTGAAATCCTAATGCTAATGTGTTTATTTCCCTCATAGTACCCCATGGACAAGTCAAAGGGCCTGAAGGTGCCGGTTCAGATCAGAGTCAACATGTGGCTCGGTCTGTCTGCTCATGAGAAGAAGTTCAACTCGTACTCTGAGGGAACCTTTAGTGTGTTCGCTGAAATGGTATACCACTCTCATATTTTACATATTTTAACTTTAAGTTCATATTCATGTTTGAAACAACAGAACATACCGTTTTCCCTTAGGAAGAGTTCAGAAATCAATATTTAATTAAATGAGTCTGATTTTTCTAATGACAGCTGTCATGTTTCTTGGCGTGCTCTGCTCCAGTCTTTCACGTTGCTGTTGGTTGATGCCATGTCACTCTTGGCTCACAAAGTTACAGCAGCTTGGTTTTGTTCGATAGCTTTCCAGTTGATCACTAAATAATTTCCTCTCAGGGACATTAAGGTGGCCCTGTGTTGAAATTCAATAGACACAGGAAGAGAATGGTTTCCAAGCAACGTAGAGAAGCTGATCAGAGAACAATGTAGAGAGGTCTGTTCATCTTTGAAGACACCTCTTAAAACAATATTTCAACAAATATCTGAACTAAACCTTAGTTTTCTGATGTTTTGAAATGAATAAGAAGTTTGTTTTTGTTGTGTTATTCAAGTCTTGACGATTAATGTTATCTCAACCAGTTGTCATTTTCCAGGATATTTAGTTTGGAAGTTAAAACTGAATACTTGTTTTTTTATTCTAAAATAAATCTATAACAGTAGAACCAGAGAAATACATCTTTTTGTAGGGCTCTTTTATTCTGGATATGAATTGGGAGAAAAGAAGGGTAAAGAAACCAAAGAGGGGCAGGCTATTTAGATTGTAAGGCACTGGGGGTGTGAAGACACCGAGGACAGGTCTTACTTTAGTTTCTCATTTTATTTGGATTATTTTTTTATGTCTTAATTTCCTCCGTTTTCTCCTCCTGTTCCTGTTTCTATACCTGTTTATATTTACAAACTGTTGCTAGATGCTGAAAATATATTTTTGGAGATCTTTGGGAGCCTTGAACTAAACATGTCCTCCTTCTCGTCATCACAGTATGAGAACCAGGCCCAGGTTTTTGGGAAGTGGGGGACCACAGGACTCGTGGGTCGCCACAAATTCTCCGACGTCACAGGGAAACTGAAGCTGAAGCGAGAGTACTTCATGCCCCCCAGAGGATGGGAGTGGGAAGAAGAGTGGTTCATTGACCCAGAGAAAGCGTGAGTCCAATTAAAAAATGACCGTTTGGCATCTTAACTCCTCTAAAATACAAAAACATCTCCCCAAGAGGAAGTCTTGGGATGTGTCCTTCTTGGTTAAGTTAGTGGTGAACTGCTGCTGATAACTTTGCTTGTTTTTTTTTTTTACTGAAAGCCCACACTTTGAGGAGGAAGTGGGCTAAGTCTGCCATCCGCTGTTTACATTCCTCTCATACCATAGACCATTATTAAATCACAGAGTACCAGAAGGTTCCCATGAGCTGACATTTTTCTGCTCTTAACTCTCTGAACAACTCTCTGCATCATTCTTTACTCCTTTGTACATGCATAAATATTGAGTTTCTATGGCAACATCATTAGTTTATATGTGGGAGGAAGTAAGGTCTTTTACCTGCTTTTTGTAACATAACAATAAGTAAGGTATTTTACCTGCTTTTTGTAAAGTGTCTCCAGATAACACTTGTTATGAGTTGACGCTATACAAATAAAAATTGATTGATTGATTGATTGATTGAAGTACATATATTACCGTCATATTGGTTTTGTTCAGATAATAATAATACATTTTATTTAAAGGCGCCTTTCAAAACTCTCAAAGTTACCTAACAGAACAGAGATAAAAACAACAAAGTAACAACACAATGATAAAATGAACATTAAAAACACAAATGTACAGGATGTAAAGGAGTTATGAGACCGGATGGAGAATGATCAGACTGAATATGCCAGTTTAAAAAGATGTGTCAGATAAAAGAAGACTTAGGCTATAGCAAGAAGAGAAACCAATCAAATCATTATGCTGTGAAATAAAACATTAGGGCACATCTTTATACCTGTTTCTCCTTAAATGTTTCTCTAGTCTACACACCAGAAGCAGACAGCTGGAGAGAAAGTCAAATCTGCAGCTTGATTGTAATCAAATTGTCACTATGGGTGTATAGCCAACACTTGGGTTCCTCCCGGCATGTAAACACTGTCTCTGTCAAAGAAAACCTTTTCTCTGTCACGCTGCACGATCTCTTGCCAGAGTTTTGGCATTCCTGTAACGCGGTGTGATTTTTGATACCACCACTTGAGGGAGCCACATTTTACACACAGTGTCTTAACTTGACCTTTGTAAAGTGTGTGTTCATCTTCTGCACGATGATGATGGTTCATGTTTTTGGCTTGTTGTTTCAGGTTATTAACAGAAGCTGATGCTGGACACACTGAGTTCATGGACGAGGCGTTCCAAAATGAGACTCGCTTCCCCGGCGGAGAGTGGAAGGCCGCTTCTGAGCCCTTCACAGACGTGGTGAGACTTCAAGCCAAATTTAGTACTTTACTCTTTTATATAGTGCTTTATATGAATTAAAATCTTAACATTATTGTATTGTGTTTTTTATCCTACTACAATTTTAAATATTCTTCTCCTATGTATTAATTTTAATATCTTATTGCTTTTATGTGTCGTATTTTATTTTTTCATTTTTATATATATTTTTTAATTCTTATTGGTGTGCATTAGTCTCTCAATGATTTTATCAACTACTTTTTTGTCAATAACTTTTCTGCACTCTGGTAAAGCACTTTGAACTGCAATTTAATTTGTCTGAAATGTGCTATATAAATAAAGTTTGATTGATTGATTGAAATAATGTAATTTAAATATAAAAAAAAAAAAAAAACTTCCCTCTGAAAATAATTATCTTGGAAAATGTATTGAACCCCCTCTTTTTCATAGTGACACCAAGAGTGTGTTTCTATTTGTACTAGTGTCCAGTTTAGGATCAGCTATTTAAAGTTTTCTGGTTTTGTTTGATCTTTTCATGGTGCTTTACATTTACCTCAGATCTCAGATAGCTAATACCTGGTGATAACACGCTACATGATAGTCTGTGCACAGAAATAACATGACAACATGTCCACAGATAGAACTTAAGATACTATCGATGTGATTGATTTAATGACGCAAAAAGACGACTAAGTTGCTGATAAACACAAAGGGTACAGCCTTTTAACTCAGGATACTGAAGGTTCTCCGAGTTTCCAAGTCAGAATTCTGACTTGGGGTGGGGGGGGGGGTGTTCCTGATGACATATCAGACTGACAACCTTGGAGTTTCCGACTTCCGAGATCAAATGCGAGATCAAATGGAACGCACCATAAACATATCTTGGTTTCATGAATCTGGAAAAGATCCGAGTCTGGTTTTAAGAAACCTAGAACCTCAGGTCTGCAGATTCAAACCTCCTGTCCCCCCCTGCAGGACAAACTATCGGTCCTGGGGGGACATGGCTTTCTCCATTGCAGCTCCCACCCTCTGGAACTCTCTCCCTAAAAACATCAGAGACTCCCCCACACTAACTTCCTTCAAGAAATCCCTAAAAACTCACCTCTTCATCACTGCCTACAACCACTAACTCCCCCCCCCCACATTACTTCTTCGTTGTACTGTCCTCGTCGTTTTTTGTTTTGTTTTATTGTTTTGTTTTATTGTTTTATGTTTTTGTCAAAGCGTCTTTGAGTTTTCAGAAAAGCGCTATATAAAACCATTGTATTATTATTATTATTATTATTATTAATAATAATAATCATATATGTAGATATTAACACTGTCATACAGGAACGTGAACAACCAGATTCTGCAGTTCTCTTCAGATGCTATAGAATTTATTTAAATAAACATAATGGCTGAAACATACAGAAAATAAAACATTAGCAGCTAACTTGAAGTTTTGTGCTGCACAGAATGGAGAGAAGAGCCGTAACCCTGGAGAGTTTGACTGTCCTCCGGGTTGGGTCTGGGAGGACGAGTGGACTGTGGATGACAACAGAGCTGTGGATGATCAAGGTGCTCACACTAATCCCTTAAATCTAGACCTAACTAACTATTTGAGAAGCGTTCATGTCCTTGGGCTCACTCTTGCTTTATTACTAAATCATAAAGAAACTAACTAACTTTTATTTTCAATGATAATGAAACTAATATTTTTTTATATGCCTTTTCTGTGTGTGCACTCCACAGGCTGGGAGTATGGAGTCACCATACCTCCAGATGACAAGCCTCGTTCCTGGGTCTCAGCTGAGAAGGTGTACCACGTCCACCGCAGGAGACGGCTGGTTCGACCTCGCAGGAGAGTCGCCGTGCCTGCAGGAGGACCTCAGGCGGTCAGCCTCAGTCAATCTTCTAAAGCAAATATGTTTTCATAAATGTTTGAACGTGATTGAGACACTTGTCTCTTTTTTTGTTCACAGAGGCAGATCCTAGGTGACCCTGACGGCTGGGAGTTCTCTTCTCTGATTGGCTGGAAGTTCCACAGGAAGGAGCGAACATCTGATACGTTTCGTCGTAGGCGCTGGAGGAGAAAGATGGCACCAGAGGACAGGCTTGGAGCGTCAGCCATCTTCCAACTGGAGGGGGCGTTGGTGAGTAAAAAAAGAAAAATAGATGTTTATTTAACCCTCAGACATCAGTTTAATTTACTACCCTCTTAAGTCACTAAGGACAGAAATGTTCTCTTCCAAAAAACTGTTATAAAAATAGAACAGATTGATATTTTTTTCTACTTTTTTCTGCATAAATCTCTTAAACAACTTCAGCCCTGCTGAAAAATGAGTTATTTTCCATATAACAAATATTTGGTGGCTGGGGGATTTTTTTTTTAAATCAGTCTTGGATATGTCAAAGATTATCCAAAATACTGACTTTGATGCATTGTTAGTTTTTGTGTAGCATCAGATTTAAAATGTAGTTCCCTGTTTGGACATTAGAGGGCCAATTTACAAAAACTGCTATAAAAATAGAACAGATTGATATTTCTTTCGACTTTTTTTGCATAAATCTCTTCAACAACTCCAGTCCTGCTCAAAAATATCAAATATTGAATAATTATCATAAATTTAATCTTTTAAATGCCAGTTTGATTCCATGATTCTGGCATTTAAAGGGTTAAATTCCTGATACTTATTCAATATTTGATAGTTTTGAGCAGGGCAGAAGTTGTTTTAGAGATGTATGCAAAAAAAAAAGGGGAAAAAAATATCAATCTGTTCTATTTTTATAGCAGTTTTTTGGAAGTGGACATTTTTGTCCAAAGTGACTTAAGAGGGTAGTAAACATGTTTCACAGTGTTCTATTGATCCATTAAAATAAATAAAATTGTCATTCCAAAATGTGTCGAGAGAGACTTTATTACAAAAATGTGTACGATATGCACTAACACAGACAAAATAATGGCCTGATAAAGAGGAACCATTTGACCAAATGGACATAAATGTTCATAGTGATACATGAGGGTTAAGGAAGGGCCCACATTAAAGCCTGAACCGGATCTGAGCTCACTGAGTCATGTAATATTTTTAAATATTTACTTGTGCATTAAACACATCTACAGTGACACAGAGTGTGTTTTTATTTGACTGCTTGCATGAAGAAGTAGATCTCTGAGGTGTCCGCTTTGGTGTACTCAGCAGGGTGTTGATACTGAAGAGAAAGGCTCCAAAGCAGACGCCACCAAGCTGTTCGGTGCAAACACGCCCACTGTGTCCTGTTCCTTTGAAAGTGAGAGCTACTGAATAAAAAACTTACAATTCTTTCAACACCACATATACCAACAATCAAACATAAATCTATGCCATGTCAAATCCTTTTTCTTCTTTTTGTGCAGACTCCCATGTCTACCATCTCCGTGTCTATGTCTATCAGGCAAGAAACCTGTCATCTATGGACAAAGATAGCTTTTCAGGTGAGGCTGTACAAAATGAAATAAGTGAACATGATGATCGATGCTTCAAGGAGACCCTCTAATCATCAGTTTTCTTCCCTTCACAGATCCGTATGCTCACGTCTCCTTCCTCCATGTCAGTAAGACGACGGAGAAGCTCCAGTCCACGCTGAATCCAACCTGGGACCAGACTCTGATCTTCAGTGATGTGGAGATCTACGGAGACCCCCGGAATGTTGCTCTCTGCCCTCCTGATGTCGTACTCGAGTTCTACGACCACGACCAAGTGGTAGGTTGTGGTCTTTAAAGCCTGGCTCACACTGTGCGATTTATCCTCCGATTGTATAAAAGTCGGGGTGGCATGTCAGCTCACACTGTACGAGTGAACCGTTTATGAGGCCCGGCCAGACCTTGAGATTGATGTGCTCACACTGTACGAGTGAAATCGAGACGGAGCGTTGACAATTGTTAATAAAGTTTGATTTGTAAAAAACAACGGACGACGGTTGGTGAAAGAGAAGGAAGTGGAAGTTGTTGTAGGATATAGAGAAGTTGATACAATCATAGATATATGGATACAAGTTTCAGAAAAGTGCTGCACTGATGATCTGTACAGAAAACAAACAAACAAAAAAAAAACCCGGGTTGACGTAAACGTCAAGATTTTAAATTCTAAATATCAAACATGTTTGAAATAAATCGGGGCGTCCCCGACGATCACCGGTCAGATCAGGGACGTTAAGATTGGATCTTTGTACCGCTCACACTACAAGATAATCTGAACAGATAATCAGGTCCGAGCAGTCTGGAGTCGGGAGAGACCCTGAGATTGTCTCAAAGGAAGAATCGGAGCGCAAATCGGCCCGATTATCCTGCAGTGTGAGCCAGGCTTTAGGGGTTGGATTTTTAGGAAGCATAATCTAGAAATGCGAACTTTTATGGGTTTTTTTTACAATGACTTATAATGTGTGCCCAGGGGAAGGACGAGTTGCTGGGCCGCAGTGTTTGTGCACCAATGGTGAAGCTGAATCCAGGCAGTGACCAGACACCCAAACTGCTGTGGCACCCGATCATCCAGAAAGGTGTACAAGCGGGAGAGGCTTTAGTGGCTGCTGAACTCATCCTCAAAGACAAGGTTTGCTTCACGGTCCAGAAGTTGGAGGGCGTTTTTTTCTTCTTTGGTTTAAGCAGCTTGAATTGTCAGGCTTATAGAGACATAGTGACTAGAACATAAATGTTGTGGATTCACTCCTAATACTGCAGCAAGCACAGAAGGTTTGTGTGTGTCAGAAACATCTGACAGGGTTTAAAAAGTGAAGCCAGAAACTTTTTAAAACATTTGTTATTTTATTTTTTTTGTCATAAGTTCTGATCCCCTCACATTTAATGGCATCCTGAAAAAAAAACAGTGACTGTGATCATATATATACAAAGTTACTGGTATTAGTTACTGTATACTCTTTCTCTGTCTTTATAGACCAATGAGTCAGATCTTCCCCTGGTTCCCTCAAAGAGAGCCGAGAACCTCTACATGGTTCCTCAGGGCATCCGGCCTGTTGTGCAGCTCACTGCTGTGGAGGTAACACACCATCTCTAATCTGATTACACACAAAGTCTAAATCCACACCCCTCTTAAATGTTTGTTCCTTTACCCAGATCCTAGCATGGGGCCTGAGGAACATGAAGCCGTACCAGCTAGCCACAGTGTCGTCACCCAGCCTGGTGGTGGAGTGCGGGGGCCAGAGGGTGGAGTCAGCCGTCATCAAGAACATGAAGAAGAGCCCCAACTTCCCCAACTCTGTACTCTTCATCAAAGTGGTAATGAGACAGTTTTTAAAACAGCAAGGTTCTGGGATGGAGGGAAAAGAAGTTCAAGGATGCTGAACAGGGAATTAAATGTGTAACAAAACAAAAAGACACTAATGTAAAATGTAATTCAAACAAAGCTTTTAAAGAACACTGTGACTTGTATTTATTTTCTTTTTTTTTTCTCAGCATCAGTATTAGTTTTGTTGTTGTTATTTTCTCCAACCCGTGAAGCTTGTTCTGTTCATATTTCTAACAATAATACAGCAAAAGGAAGGAAGGATATAAGAGGTAGGTTGTAATAGTGTTAAAGTGTGTTTAAGGTGGATTTTCATGTAAATCAACAGGGTGTTGGGCTGAGCCACAATGCACACTGTGGGGGAGGGGAGGGGGGTGGAATACAGAGACATTTCTTAAACTGTAAATATTTTGTTATTTATGCATGTCTTATGTCCAGCTCCTTCCAAAAGATGAGATGTACACGCCTCCCATCGTGCTGAAGGTGATCGACCACCGTCCGTTTGGCAGGAAACCTGTGGTGGGTCAGTGCACCATCGCCACTCTGGAGGACTTCAGGTGTGACCCGTATGTCATCACTGCAGAGGGAGCCATGTCATCTAAAAGTGAGCACGCATTCAAAAAAAAGGCAAAAAAATCGTAATATTGAATGAATATTTTGATCCGTTGAACAAAGTAGTCTTGCTGTAATGTTATCTAACTGTTTTCAGTGGCTCTGATGATGGCGTCGCCTTCAAAACATCTCTCTATTAACATGGAAGAATCAAGACCACTGCTAGACGCTCAGGTAATCTACGCCGCTGAACCACACACCTGCTTCTCATCATGTCATGATGTCACTCACTGATGATGTCACTCACTGATGATGTCACTCACTGATGCATAATTTGACTATTTGAGTCAAATTTGACAGACTTCTGACAAATGACTCTGGCTTACAGTTCATGTACAGCATGTCAGCTGCTGTCAACAAACTGGCTTCCCCTACCTCCCTCTTTGTATGTATGATTACGTATTATAGCTTTCTAATTGAAAACACTGGGCAGCAATGCCACTGGATGGCTGAGAGCACATAATCCTTCACGCCGCAGCAAGCCTCACAATGTTTCATAATGGCATTAATCTACAGGGAAATGTCACCATGACTGTGATTGTTCTTAATTTAGCTGGTACTGAATCAGTGAGCACATTTAATCATTTCTTTCACAACGGGGGTGTAACATGAAATGGGCTCTTTAATGAAGTAAGCAGTTCACTTTTTCTTGATGTTTGGGAACAAAAGAAAAGGATTCCACTCAGGGGCGTGGCATTGAGGTCTTACACATTTTTGATTAGTTTAAATTGTGACTTGTGAGGACATACAGTATGTTGCCACTCTTGGGTTACATAAAAGTAAATTTGATTAGTGGTGTTAGAAAGGGTAAAAAAAAAAAAAAGAGAGATTCTTGTGCGTGGACATCACACTCAAGGCCAACTTTGCATAAGTCAGGGGCCAAAAAAAAAAGCCTGGACACACCCCTGATTGGACTCATAGCAAAATGTTACAGGTTTTATAATGAACTCACAAAAAGATTGATGCTATGTTAAAAAAGGAGCTACTGCCAACAGAGGGTTAGCTTAGCTAAAAGGTTCGTTTAGCATCTGTGAAAAAGATATCAAATGTGTCTCCGTCACCTGCAGAGCTCGCTAGTTTTTAGTTAAGCTGGAAAGTTTAGATGTAATATGGGTATATTTTTTATTAGTCAGTTGTTAGTCTGTTTGTTCCTTTAATGAGATTGAATCTTCACACATAAATTGCCTTGAAGTTAACGACATGTGACTTGGTATTTTAACACCTTGTCTTTTTTTTGGGGGGGGTAGATTTCTACATGTTATGCTAAGCTAACCCAATTCTGGAAGTACATCTGTTTTTATCATACATGAGGGGTATCAGTCCCCACATCTAAAGTCAAGACATTTTGACTCATGACAGCAATGAACGCCCCGTAAAAAAAAAAAAAAACACTAGTGCCAGGTTGCACATGAAGGGACGGTTGGGACAGTTGCATATTTTGCAGATACCCATATGTTACACCCTTGTTTTCATAATCATTCCTTCTCCAACTTCATCATCATTCTTGCCACTATTTTCAGTCTGTTTGTGTTTTTTTGCAATTATGTCTCTTCTGTGTGTTTGTTTGTTTGTTTGTTCTTATGATTGTTTTTTGTTTTGTTTATTGATCACTGCATCATGTTCCTCTGAAGATTGCAGAGAAGGTGAGAGGATTAAATGGAATAGGTTTATTTCTAAATCTATAGAGCCATAATTATATGAAGTAAAAACTCAACACAATCTGATTTTCTTTAGGAAAAGGAGACAGTTGATTGGTGGAGTAAATTCTATGCATCAATGGGAGACCAGGAGAAAAGCGGCCCTTACCTCAAAAAAGGATACGACACCCTGAAAGTGAGTGGGCTTTATTTAAGACAAAATAATGATTGTTAGTGGTAGTGATCTGCAAATGATTCAGAAGCTTCTCTCCTGAGTTTTGGATGACTTGAATGTTTCTGTATTTTCAGGTGTATGAATGTGAGCTGGAGGATGTCCCAGAATTCAAAGGGCTGACTGATTTCTGCAGCACCTTCAAACTGCAGCGAGGCAAGAATGAAAACGGGGACGAAGACCCCACTATGGTTGGAGAGTTTAAGGTACAGTTTTGCCACCATAAAGTTCTTTATTTTTTATATTAGTAGCTTTTGTGATTTAAGTTCTTAACATTCACCAAACATAAAAAGTGATATTTGATTTGTGTGTTTTTTGTACCTGCAGGGTTCATTCAAGGTATACCCTCTACCAGACGACCCAGGTGTGGCTCCTCCCCCCAGGCAGTTCAGAGAGCTGCCAGATAGTGGACCTCAAGAGTGTCTGGTCAGGATTTATATTATCTGCGCCATAGATCTGCAGCCGAAAGACAACAATGGCGGAGTGAGAATAAATCTGTATTACTTGAAATAAAAAGAAGCAGATTTTGGACACATGAATCGAGTCAGCACCTTATGCTAAAACTTTCTGTTCTCTCATTCCTGCTCAGTGCGATCCATACATAAAGATTTCCCTGGGAAGGAACAGTATAGATGACAGAGACAGTTACCTACCCAACACCACCTGTCCTGTGTTTGGAAGGTAAACGTTCAATAAACACAGATTACAATGTACAACTGCTGTCCTTAAAATCCAGATAAACTTCTAACTTAAAACCTTGATTTTATTCAGGATGTTTGAGATGACGTGTTTCCTGCCCCAGGACAAAGACCTGAAAATCTCTGTCTATGACTATGATCTCCTGAGTCGCGACGAGAAGGTCGGCGAGACCGTAATTGACCTGGAGAACCGATTCCTTTCCAGATACAACTCCTACTGCGGCCTGCCACAATCATACTGCACGTAGGGAAATCTAGAGGGGAAAAACTGAATTAAATTGAAGGAATAACAAGGTTATCAACGTGTCTTTAATCTATCTCTATCTTTGCTCAGCTCTGGTATTAACCAGTGGCGGGACCAGTTGAAGCCGTCTGAGATCCTGGAGAACTTGGCCCGTCTGAAGGGCCTGTCCAAACCAAGGACTGAAGACAATGGCACATCACTCACCTTCAGCGGCACGGAGTACAAGCTGGCTCAGTTTGGTAATGTTGCTCAATCCAAATGATATAATGTGACTGAATTTGACTGAATCCAATAATTGATGTCTGAAGTATGGCTGAGGCAGCTGATTGAAGCATCTTTATAATAATAATAATGATAATAATAATAATAATAATAAGTTTATTTATATTGCACCTTTTTAAAAACACAGGTTTACAAAGTACTTTGACAAACAGCAAAAACAAGAACAAACTAAACCAAACACAGAACAACATAAACAACAGCAAGAACATAACAAATGCAAAATACTAAAAATAAATAATACAATTCAACAGAAAAGAACCCATAGTGCATGATCCACAACAGACATATATAACCCGACCATCACAAGAACCATCACAAGAACCATCATAAGAACCCAGGCAACACAAGAACCATCATAAGAACAATCACAAGAACCATCACAAGAACCATCATAAGAACCCAGGCAACACAAGAACCATCACAAGAACCCAGAAAACACAAGAACTATCATAAGAACAATCACAAGAACCATCACAAGAACAATCACAAGAACCCAGGCAACACAAGAACCATCATAAGAACAATCACAAGAACCATCATAAGAACCCAGGAAACACAAGAACTATCATAAGAACAATCACAAGAACCATCACAAGAACAATCACAAGAACCCAGGCAACACAAGAACCATCACAAGAACCATCACAAGAACAATCACAAGAACCCAGGAAACACAAGAACCATCATAAGAACAATCACAAGAACCATCATAAGAACCATCATAAGAACAATCACAAGAACCATCATAAGAACCATCATAAGAACCCAGGCAACACAAGAACCATCACAAGAACAATCACAAGAACCCAGGCAACACAAGAACCATCACAAGAACCCAGGCAACACAAGAACCATCACAAGAACCATCACAAGAACCATCACAAGAACCCAGGAAACACAAGAACCATCACAAGAACCATCACAAGAACAATCACAAGAACCATCACAAGAACCATCACAAGAACAATCACAAGAACCCAGGCAACACAAGAACCATCACAAGAACCATCACAAGAACAATCACAAGAACCCAGGCAACACAAGAACCATCACAAGAACCATCATAAGAACCCAGGAAACACAAGAATCATCACAAGAACCATCACAAGAACCCAGGAAACACAAGAACCATCACAAGAACCCAGGAAACATGAGACCATGCATTGTGGCTGAGACCAAGAGGACCAAAGATTTAAAAAGATGTAAGAAACTAAAAGAGCTAAAAGCAAATCAAAAGATAACAGCAATAAGAAGGTTAAAGCAGTAAAAGAAATGGAAACAAGTGAATCAAAAAATAAAAACCAATAATATTAAGAAAAATAAAAAGTATATATACATATAAAACATAAATAGACAAAGTAAGTAAGATAAAAAATTACCAAGTTAAAACATAAGGGGAGTTAAGATAAGAGCATAAATAAAAAGACAGTAAGAAGTATAAGAAGACAAAAATAGTAAAACCAGTAGAAAAATCTTTAGAAAAAAGGGAGAAAAAGATGTCCAGATTAATTTACAGACTTTATTTGACTGAATCTTTTTGCCACATCTAACTGGGGCACTTTCTCTTCCAGAGACCAACATGGAAATTCATCAGCACTTGGGCCCGGCCCGGGAACGACTCTGTCTGCATGTGCTCAGAAAGCAAGGACTGGTCCCGGAACATGTGGAGACCAGGACTCTCTACAGCACCTTCCAGCCCACTCTCTCTCAGGTAACACATCACACAGCTCGCACATGCTCTACCCGTGCATGACCACACAAACCCTGACTCAGCTACTTTACTCAAACCCTAAACTGTGTCAATGTAGGGAAGCCTTCAGATGTGGGTGGACATTTTCCCCAAATCCATCGGCCTCCCTGGATCTCCCTTTGACATCACACCACGTAAACCCAAGAAGTAAGCGCCATGCCTACCTTTAGTGCTTCATTACTGTAAACATCAGATATGGAGCTAATACTGACTGTGAATGTTCAGGTATCTCCTGCGTGCTGTCATCTGGAACACCACAGACGTGACTTTGGACGAGAAGAGCATCACAGGAGAAAACATGAGTGACATCTATGTCAAAGGGTGAGGCTGGAGAATTATTATTAAGTTTCCATACCAGTCGACATAGCAACATCTAATGCTGCATTCAGGCCGTTTGTGCTTCCATTGATGTTATTCTTACACAGTAAAGATACAGGTTTCTGAGCGAGAATAATGATTGCTCACACCATGTTGTCTTTGCCAGCTGGATGCCCGGCATGGAGGAGGACAAGCAGAAGACAGACGTCCACTACAGGTCTCTGGACGGAGACGGAAACTTCAACTGGAGGTTCATCTTTGACTTCGACTACCTGCCCGCTGAACAACTCTGCCTCGTTTCTAAGAAGGTGACGCTTTTCTGCATCAAACGTAACAAATGAAATTAGTTATTTATTACACTATACAGAGGGGTTGTACAAATAGCTAATCGAGAGCATGTTGTTTTCTCCAACAGGAGCGCTTTTGGAATCTTGACAAAACAGAGTTCAGAACCCCCCCCAAGCTGATTGTTCAGATATGGGACAACGATAAATTCTCCCTGGATGATTACCTTGGTAAGAGCATTGTTTTGAATCTGAAGAAAAAGCAACCCAAAGTGTTATTATTACTGTGGTTGTAGTTAAATGTGTAGTCAGCACAGGGGAGATTGTCCTGTACTAGAGATTGAAGAGGGTGAGACCATGGAGACTTGTGTGAGATCACACTTAGACACTTAGCAGCCTGGCCAGGACATGAGGAAAGGTCTGGAAGAAGATGAGATTCACATGCAGAAAAGAGCAGCTCTGTTTTTGGTAGTCCAAGTCGATCTGCTTCACTCCCAAGTGTCACAAGGTGAACAGAAATTCTCCAGCTTAAATTCCATCAGGATTAACTCACAATTGACATCTGTGTGGTTGTAGTTGTTAGCCCGGACGTTATGTGAGGCGTGCCTTGAAACACTTCTTATGGTCAAAAATAAACCAGCCAAAGTTTTGATTATTAATGAGGTTTTTAAAAAATTATTTAGCTTCTCATATAAACATATTGTCAGTTTCCTCAGCTTTCTCTATCAGTAAACACTGATATAAAGTCATAGTGAGAAAGCAGTGTTATATGAATAACCTAAATACATGATTGTAAAACCTCAGCATTCTTGTTTTCTATTTGTAGGCACACTAGAGCTGGATTTGCGTAACCTGGTCGCTCCTGCAAAGACCCCCGAGAAGTGTTCTCTGGACATGATGGATGATCTGGAGATTGGAGTTCCACAAAAGATGGAAAACGCCAAGTCTCTGTTTGCTCAGCAGTCGGTCAGAGGATGGTGGCCCTGTTCTATTGAGCAGGATGGAAAGAAGGTCCTGGGGGTAAGTATGAACCAGGTCACAAATTGGCTTTTTCAAACCTTTTCTATTAAACTAAAGAATAGTCAATAACAGGGTTCTAGGATAAAGTTTAGCTGGAGTTCAATACAATTTGAATATGACGCAGGAATAAAGGTCCTCAAGTTTAATGGGCCAGTGCCCCCCAAACTCGTCTCCAGGACTGTCCTCCTAGATTTGTCCTTTTGATCAGAGAGATGTCCATATTTCAAAGGGCATGAAATGGAAAAAGCAGAGGAAAACTGCAAGTTAGTCTTTGATTCGGTCACTAATTCTGCTTTTGGGCACCAAATCCTCCGTTTACACAGCCCTAAAGAAACTGTTTTTACGTACCCTGGAGAAGCTGGATTTATAGTTTTCTATACCTTTGGCTAATAAATAAATAAAGTTGTATCCATCTTGTTTAACTGTCTTGCTGTGTTGTGTTTACAGGGCAAAGTGGAGATGACTCTGGAGATTGTGAGTGAAGCAGATGCAGATGAGAGACCTGCAGGAAAAGGCCGTGATGATCCCAACATGAATCCTAAACTGGACTTTCCCAAGTAAGACCCAACAGAGAGCAGTCTAATACTTACCAGTTACTTCAGAGTCTGCAGATAAAAAGTCTTTTTTTTCTCTATAGCGCCGGTAAGAAAAAGAAAAAAAGTGAAGTTTAACAAAAACAATGACATCATCTCTTTCATCATCAGACGCCCAGAAACGTCCTTCTTCTGGTTCACCAACCCATGTAAGACCATGAAGTTCATCGTGTGGCGAAGGTTCAGATGCGTCTTCATCGGACTCATCCTCCTCACCATAGTGATCCTCTTCCTCGCCATCCTGTTGTACTCATTACCGGTAAGATCGAACAGGGAACACTGGTGGTTAATCATTTGTGAATCATGTGATTTAGCTGGTATTGCATAAAGAAATTAAAAAATATAACACTTATCTTCACTATTTTCTCCTTTAAAACTGAGAGGCTGTGTGCTTTGTGGCTTCAGTCCAGACCTCTGGCTGTATTCCTCTAAGACAGTCTATGTTCCATACTAGAGATAAAGCAGTGAATTATTGTTTTCTTTGGTCTTTTCCAGAACTACATCTCAATGAAGATTGTGAAACCACTCAAGTAACCCTACAAAGGAGGAGCAGAGGGGCTGTAAAGGACTGAGCGGCTGTGGCTCAGTTGGTAGAGTCACCTCTCATCCGGAAGGTCGAGGGTTCGATCCCCAGCTGGGCAACATGTCTGATGTGTCCTTGGGCAAGACACTTAACTCTGAATTGCTCCCACTGCTTCAGTGGTGGTGTATGAATGTGATTAGTTACTTCTGATGGATGATACTACATAGTGATCACTACCATCAGTGTATGAATGGGTAGGTGTGACATGCAGTGTAAAAGCGCTTTATAAGCTCAAGTACATTTACCATTTAAAACTTTTGTTTGTACTGCCTTAAGTGTTTTTAAAAAAGTTAACCTATTGGGGCGCTGGTGGTGCAGTGGTTAGTGTGCGCGCTCCATGTACGGAGGCTACGGTCTTAGAAGCGGGCGACCCGGGTTCAAATGCGACCTGTGGCTCCTTTCCCGCATGTCATTCCCCACTCTCTTTCTCTCCCTGATTTCCAACTTTATCCACTGTCCTATCTCTCCATTAAAGGCACAAAAAGCCCAAAAATAAATCTTAATTTTTTTTAAATAAAAAGTTAACCTATAAGGGGCTGGGTGCTTGCACATTTGCACTTCATCACTTCTTCAGCATGCAACAGTCCTTACATTTTAATGTTTGTGTCTTATATATATATATATATATCAGGGTTATCTTGTATTTGACTGTACGTTATTGTAAGCTTTTTCTGATATCATGGCACACGCACTGTAAATAAGGTGATACACAACTACTTCTAATCCAAAGATGCACTTTGTATTTCATTGTATTTTTTGGTCACAAAATAAGTCATGCCTTTTGGTGTGTTACATTTTCACAGATCTTTTTAATTAAATATTATAAAACCATTCAAACATGATGTTGCCTCTGTTTTAAAAATGAAAAAAGAAAAAACTATGACCACTTTGAGTAGAGTGGTCATTTTTTAATAAGTAAAAAAATGACATATACAATTGTTTAAAAAGCGTTAAGGTGTGTGTGGCTGGAGCTTTAACAGAAAACACAAACACAAAAATGAGCTTCCAACAGGAAAGATTTAAGTGAATTAAAACAGGATATTTCACAGAGGTTCAACTTATTTACATTTATGATAAGTTATAACGTTGTTTTACTTGTCCACTGCGGGTTTATTCCTCCTCTGAGGTGTGATGTTTGAAGTGCTGCCTCAGGAAATCCTCCACCTCTCCTCTCCGTGCCAGGCTGTTGGCTTTGCCTTGAAAACGCCCATTTTTTCCTGCTCCTTTCCCCTGGAGCATCTCCAACACCCTGGGAAAAAAAACCTCATAGAATCATCCAAGACCAACACACACAAACTATTTTTCAAACTGAATCAATATATGGTGATGTTTCTTACCGTGGTCCCATGTCTGACACCGGCCCACTGGGTCCAGTCAGCAGGAATAATCCAGGTCCCTTCTCCTCTCCTACAGTCAGGAAGACCAACGTTTCCTGAGAGCAGCAAAAACAAAAAAAGGCTTCATCATCATTATTTAACTGTAAAAACAAAGACTGAACAGTCAGAAAAAATTCTTACCTCAGAGTTTAGTTCATTGGCAATGATACCCATGAACTCATTATCCCCCTCTTTCCTGGAAAGACAAAAAAGATTAACCATTTTCTCATTGTAAACGTCATATGGGGAGAGTTTTTTTTTTCTTTGTGGATCATTTTTCAGGCTTTTCAGAGTACAAGACTGGAGAGTGAGATCAGGGGACGTCATGCAGTATATGGACAATGTTGGGAGTCGAGCCTGGGGCCACTACCTTGAGGGTTAAGCCTCTGCACATGGGATGAGCAGTTAAATCATTAAACTAAATTGGCTCAAGATGGTTCAAAGCATCTTACTTGTGAGACGCTGGTGACGCAGTGGTTAGTGCGCGTCCCATGTACGGAGACCCAGGTCCGAATCCAGCTTGTGGCTCCTTTCCCACATGTCATTCCCCATTCTCTCTCTCTCCCTGATTTCCAAATCTATCCACTGTCCTATCTCTCATTTAAAGGCACAAAAAGCCCAAAAATAAATCTTTATTTTATTTTTATTTATTTTTTTAAAGCATCTTACTTGTGATAGCTGAAGAAATTGCCTCGCTGAGGGTCACTCTTAAAGTTCTGAGCGATGAGGACAGCCATGTCTCGCAGCAGGTTTAAGTTAGTCTGCACATGACATTTTCATGAAGGTTAGCAATGTGCTATGTTACAGCAAACGTATACTGTGTATAAACATGTACAGGCATAACTAGACAAAACAAATCACTGATGAAATGTTCTTACTTTCTGAAGTAGCTTCACAGATTTCTGCAACTTGTCAACTGCCTCGACGTGCTCATCAGGCCCAGTTCTGTAAAAAAAAAAAAAAAAAAGTTATTACCATAGTCTGAGAACGTTAAAGGTTTTATATGTGATTTTTCACACTTAAATGTAATATAAATCAAGTATATCCTCTGAAAATAACTCTGAGTCATGACTGTCTACAATGGGTGTAACACCCGAGTCCCACTGTCTGTGATGTTTTCAGAGTTTTCAGAGTCCTATCTTCAGTTTGTTTACATCGCCTGGACGGCCGGCTGACTCCTCCCCTCACGTATAAAAGTTGTTTAATTGAAGAACTAGAGAAAAGAAGAATAACATACTGTACTCACTGCTTAACTGTGTTTCTAGATCACGCTCATTTCAGGTAAATTTACATGCAGTGTGAAGATACCAGCATAATAAAGATCACTAGCATTAGCATGCTAACACAACAATGCAGCGCAACTTGTTTTGGTTTCATGCTGGTGCTCAAGGGCGACATCTGCTGGATCACAAAATCACATATAAAGTCTTTAAAGTCACGCTGATAATGATTCAGACTTTAAACTTACTTCAATAAAGACACCAGTGATCGCTCTGTGCTGTAGCTTTTCTCAGTGTACTTCAACACCCTGTTTCCTGCCAGGAAGATCAGGTTGGTTTTGTTTTTCTTCCCTTTCTCAGTTCCAAGAAGCTTTATTACCTAAAGTTCATACAACAGGAATACACAATAAGTATATTATCAAAAAAAAAAAACACTCTGTATGCATCTAGTGGTCCAAATTTAACTAATTAATGTGAGAAAAGTCAAATATGAAGTTGAACCTGTAAGTGACTGAGGTTGGACACATGAGTTCCGCAGCACATGTTGGCGTCGACACCTTCGATATCAATGATCCGTATGGGCCCCGCGTGGTCGTCTGGTAGCCCTCGACTCCTCACCTGGTTCACACACAGAACTCTTGTAACATAAAGTACAAGTGAAACCCCCTACATGCAGCACATACATCTTACACATTGACTTTTTGAGTGTGATTACAGAGTAGGACTGTATATGAACCTTTTCCACAGCCGGGTCGTCTATGGAGAGAAGCTGCACAGTGACGGGGACGTGGGCTCTGATCTTTTCGTTTACAGCTTCTTCCAGGGCCTGGAGCTGGGCGGGCTTCACACAGGGAGTGTCCAGCTCAATGGTGCTTCTTTGACGGCCCAGATCCCTAGAAAAACAAAACACACACAAAGAGAAATCAGTTAAAACCCAGATCCAAGCGATTTCTGGTATACTAATCCATGCAGGGGTGAGGTGATGTACCAGGATGTGGTCTTGTATCCGAAAAACGCATCTGCCAAAGCTGTTATCAAATGTTGACCTACGAGTTGAGAGGGGAAAAAAAATGTTGTTCAAGTTGATGAAACGATTTAAGATCTTGGTTAAGAATTTTCAGTTCACCGTCATAAAACTGAACATAAGTCCCAAAACTTCATGATTACTTAGAGCCTTTCTCAAATCTCTTCCAACACACTTCCACTCCGTTTACGCACTCTTATGAAGGGTCAGCCACATGGAGTGCCGTCCAAATTAGCTGTATCCCCTCCACCTTAATGAAGGGGAGATCGTTGGTGGACGGCTTGCCTGAACAACACCCCCCCCCCAGCTCCCTACATTTTATCCCATCTCTCCCCACGGTGCAGTCTAGGCCTGTGAAGGCTGTTTCATCATGAGCCGGGGATCCAGTCGAAGATTTCTGCCTTTTAATAAAGCAGTTTTTTCTTACCACTGTAACTTTTGCTGCTTTGCTAAAGTGCTCATGATGGATAGACCGGGTCTTTGTAACATAACAATAAGTAAGGTCTTTTACCTGCTTTTTGTAACGTAATAATGAGTAAGGTCTTTTACCTGCTTTTTGTAACATAACAATAAATAAGGTCTTTTACCTGCTTTTTGTAAAGTGTCTCCAGATAACACTTGTCATGAGTTGACGCTATACAAATAAAAATTGATTGATTGATTGATTGATGAAGGGTAGTTCATTCAGCTGTGGGTGTGACGTCAGGTAGAGTGTGGAGGGAGCGGTTTGAGAAAGGCTCTTAACATTGCTCACCTGAGTGTTGCTGCATGTGATCAAACCTCCTCTCCCAGTCGACCTTCACCTGCACCTGCTGACCCACCTCCAAAGGTGAGCTCACAAAGTGTACCGCTTCAGGCCCCTGTCTCGTCACCCTCAGAGCTGGGACGTCTCCGATCAGTCCATGGTCATCTGGCTGAAAGAAAGAAGTACAGTAAAATCATGCATGAATGAGAAGGGCTTGCTTCGAGCAGAATCAGGTATTGAACTATAACTTGCTTACTTGGCCGCCTCCTTCAGGAAACAATATGGTGTCTTGGAGCTTGACATGGAAGCCCTTGAGAGTTTCTTTCTTTCCGTTGACCTCTTGTTTGAGTTCAGCTGGACAGCAGGACACCACAGAGGTGACAAACTGAAGGAACAACACATGAAATGGAAACGTACATTAAGTTATATCCTCTTTACGTTGATAAAGTGTGTTGTGTTTTCACAAAACAAAAAAAGCGTCACAGCAACTGATTGTATCTTCACTTCAATATAAACTAAATGGTAAAACTCATGGGCAACTGTGTTTGGTTGGGAACATAAATATGACTTGTTAGCTAGTAATAAACATTCCAACACAGTCTGTAACTAGGTCCTGCTCACTATAGACTCTGGTCCAGTAACTATAGTTAGCATTAGCAACAATGCTAACCACTGCAGATAATGAATGCTACATGACATGAAACATGTTCGTACCTCTTTCATATAACAGTCTCGTTGACACTGAAAAGCCATATTGGAATGTCTTTGCGTGGAAAACTCGACCTCACACTAGTTTATGTAATGTATATGAGGGGAGGCTGGTTAGTATGGCTAGCAACAGAGACCAAATTTCGTTTCACCGACTTCTTCTTCTTCTTCTTCTTCTTCTTCTATTGGTTTTTAATGGCGGCATTACTGCATTACCGCACTCTACTGGAATGCAAAAGACTTACAGTGAAATATATTTACACTGTTCACCCAAAGTGCTCCTCATTCGTGACATTTCCCGTTTTATACACATTTGTCCACCTCAGTGTCACATCAAACTCTTCCCCTGTTATGGTCACACAATGTCTGGACATATCCAGGCCAATTTACAGACTTGGTCCGTGCCGGGACTTGGACCGGCGACCCTCCGATTCCCAGCCCAAGTCCCTACAGACTGAGCTACTGCTGCCCAAGTCAACCATATAAAGCATGAAACCCTTATATACAGATGGTAGCCTTTAAAAAACATGTGTAAATCAAAACAACAATATAAAAACTGTGCCGAGTATCATTACCTTTATTGAAAATTGATGTGATATGTCTGTGCACACAGTGGACAAAACACATCAATAAATAATCCCATAGAAAATATCACAGTATTTTGAACAATAACACCTAAAATCATCTGCAAATAACACAAAGCTTGAGCAAACATAGAACTGTCATCAGGATCTTTTTTTATAGAGGCTTCAAACACAAGCAGGGGGCGCTGTGGCTCTCAGTCCGACTGTAGGGGAAGATATAAAAGAAAGTGGAATGTGTCAACATCTGAATGACCATAAACTATCTGATTCAATAATCATGCAAAGTAATCAAGATTAGTGTTTTCTAGTTTTCATGCATTAATGAAGAAAACACAGTGGTTATTGAACAGAAAAGGGATATACACCCTAAAACCTGTTTAGACTATCACACTAACATTTGACTTACATCACTTAGATCCCCCATATCTGGTGCTGCTCCTTTGTTTTTACCAGAGATTTCCTGGATCATCTGAAAAGGGAGAGCCAAATGATTACTCAGACAAACACACACATGAATCCAAAACCTCTGCTGTAGCTATATTTTGACATGTTCAAGTCACATGTACCTTTAATAAGCTCTAACAGACAAATTGAATGAACTTGCTTGACACACAGCAGGTACTCACATCCGCATATCTATCAAACTCTTCCTTTCCTTCGTCTTCTTCATTCTCCCAGTCCCTCCAGTTATCAAAGTCTACAGTAATCCAACTTGGCTGCAGAAAGAAGGAGACACGATACAATGAGAAATGATGCTTACCAAGGTGAAGCAGCACCCTGATTCAAATGTATACAGGTGTTGGAGGTTTCTTGTACTGCCTGCCTGTTTAACAGTGGATTAAGATGAATTTCAAATTGTAATCATCAGTGGGAAACTCATGTCTATTTGAGACCATGCATTTTTCTAACGTGGTTAAAGCTGTTGATAAATTAACTAATTGCTCTGAAAGAAATACTGTTCTAATAAATCCTTTAAGATGTGACCTTTTAGTAAGAAAAAAGTGAACATAAATATTTGTCAATAAATGACCAGGTACTGACACTGAGGCAATGTGGCCAATGTTTAAAATTAATAAAATACTAAAAAAAAAAAGTGATGGAAAGATGGAAGGAAATGCACACACACTCATGTGAACTAACCCGAGCTTCATCCTTCTGAAGACGCGGCCATGCATAATCTGGCTTCACCTTCCTCAGCAACACATTGATGGTGCGATCGTAGACCCTCTCTCTGGAGTCCTTTTACAGTGTTGAAAACATTTTAAATTTGGTATCACAGTAACTGTACTGTCAGCATGTTTATAAAATAATCCACATGTTTTTAAAATGCCTGACAAATGAGATACTATAGGCTTACATGTATTTGAACTTTCTCATAGAAGTGTAGCTCATTGTAGAAAACATCATCTGTGTCATTTTTGCAGCTGTTGTGAGAGAGGAGAGATTCGTCAATGAAACGGCAAAAAAGATCACAATTTACAATATTTATGGTTCAAGTAATTACTGTTTTTTAAATACACAAGAAAGAAGGCAAATAGAAGAGTAACCTTACACAGAAATAAACAAACTCACCATAAAATCATTTTGTCAGGCTGGATATCCACCTGCACATCTTTAGGTCTCTGAACCTTGAAGTTGATAGTCACATATTTTTTTCTGTCAAACCAAAGTGCACGTGCTGGCTGGCTGTTAAACACAGAAAGAAACTATAAATCCACTGATGTGATCATTTGTCTTGTGTTCTTGTTTAAGATACACCTCTTCATGCGTTTTTCTGTTAATAAGATGTTGGTCACTTACCTTTCCTCTGGTCTGACAATTTTTGGCTTGTTCATTTCTGATTCTATTACAAAACTAAAACTGATGTCTCGTTCCTTTGACAAGCACAAAGTAAAACCATGTGTCTTGCTCGATTGTGGTGCAGGCTCTAAAGCAGTGTCCAGGCCCTGGAGTCTATATATAGAGCAAGTTGGTATCAGCTGCTGGGAGGCTTGCCTGCCACAACCCCCTCCCCTGCTGTTTATAGTCTGTCAGAAGTGGAACTCTCCAGAAAACAGATGCATTTACTGGGTCTTCAAGAAACTTCAGCTTCCCCCCCGACTGGTGGCTGAGAGGTGAACGTGGGGGCAGGGAGACACAAGAGAAGGGAAGTCAGTGAACACATCACAGGAATTCTAATCCGATTATTCCTGTTAATTTTTAAATGTTGTATTGTTCCTTTTTGTCTAAGGAAAGTGCATTAAGTGGGGAGAAAATTATGCACTACCAAAAGTTTAAAGATAAGATAAAGATAAACTTTATTGATCCCCATGGAGGAATTTTTTTTGTCACAACAGCTCAAGAAACAGGAATATAATTATCAAAAATAACAAGAAGTTAAAAATCAAACATATGTACATCAGTTAAATAAAGGGAGAAAAAATACAATAATAGAATAATACTAGGTATGTACACTTACACTTGTGGAAAGAGTTATTATTATTATTAAAAACACACACAGTGTGTAGCATTATTGATATGAATCATGAGGTGGTGATGCTGTTAAAGAGTCTAGTCTTTGAGACATGTTTCATTATTTTTCCATCTAGTTGGTTGTTAAAATTAGAGATGTTATAAATTAAGAAAAGCAGCTTTAAGTGGGATGACATCACAGGACAGCCTGTAGGTTACTTGACTTCCAAATGCTTTATAATGTAAAAATGTAAAAATATGAAACAATTGGCATAAGAGAGCCTACAAGAGAGAGTAAATTTCCCCGTTGTGGGATAAATAAAGGATTATCTTATCTTAACAACATTTCCAGAGCTCATGGTCATATCTCACTATCTTCCTAAATTTAACTTCACACTAAACAGCATTGGTGGGGGGGAGGGGGGCTTATAAATATACAGATGCAGCAAGGTGTTAATAATGTGATAGGTAAATGTAAAAGTTGTAGGGAAAGCTATCAGGAGCTTTCATAAAACGGGGGACTAGAGTATCACCCAATTCCACGGTTGTAGAGTTCAGCACGCAGTCGCCCCCTGCTGGTCTGGCGGCTCACGGTCCACAGATTTTCCACCGGAAATGCAATTCCCCGCTCTGTCGGTCTGTGCGGGGAATGTGTACCAGAACCAGGCAACGCTGTGTACATATAAACTTCTGCCTGGAAATAATCAATAAATAGTCGTTTTTTCATTTTTTTGCAAAAGTTTGGGTTATTTTTTAGATTGGCGGAAACACATCGATAGGAACTACCTGTAATCTGAGTAAACATGCCTCGTAGACGACAGGTAAGAACAAATGTAGGTCGCACAAGAGGGTAACGTTAGCTTAGTTAGCACTCCGAATGGGCTCTACCATATTACATTGAACAACTCGACAACTTAGCATGCCATAACAAGACATCACCTGTGTATACTTTGGGGTCTACCTTTCATCATTTATCATTTATTAGTTTTTAAAACTCTTTATTTTGAACAATATTCTCCTGTCAACATTTTCACTTAGTGAAAACGCCTAAAGCTAAATACAACTTTGATGCTGGAAACGAGCAGCTAAACCAAATCAAAAGGTTTGTCCCTGGTATTATTTTAATTAAAATGAATTTTGTGGGTTTATATGTACGCCGAGTTTACCATAAAACCACAATAACCGACTTTAGCTCAATAATATGTGAACTAGAACATGTTGTGAGAACACCAGCTGTCACTACAACTTAAACTGTGAGATTTATCAATGGGGTTTGGTGCCACGGTCTATTAGCCGTATGAGAAAGCGGGGTCAGCTTAGCTAACTTTAGAGGCTAAGCTAACAACAATAATAGGCAGCTGAAGTGTAACCTGCTGCTTAGCCGTGCAGCCATGATACTTAATATCCGGACTGTAAAGTTGATTTTTATGAATGACCATAGGCCTTCTGTATTTTGGTGTAGCAATTAGTTGCATGCATTAATCACACAGTGTGAAACCCTATGTTACCACCAGCCAAGCTAACACAAGCTATCAGAGGTATTTGGCCTTTCTCTCATGATTACAGGGGTTACATACAGACCAACACTTGAACCTTTTCTCACAGACATTCTGTTAACATAGAAATGTGGATGCTAAGTCCAAGAAAAACCCTCCAATAACTACTCTTTGCACTATCTTCTTTTTAAACATTGCTGTACATATATAAACAACACAACTTCAGAAGGTCAACACTTTTTTTATTTTTTTATTTTCAGGTCTAATTACAGATTTCTTTCCTCAACTGTTTATAGGTTCTTGTTTATATTGCACATATATTTTTATCCCTGTACAGGTTATGTACAACGGGGGGGGGGGGGGGTTGTGGTTTAATTTGTAACAAATGTTTCATGTCATGTACGTCTTTGTAACCTGCTACTGGATGCTTTGAATTTCCCTCTGGATCAATAAAGTATCTATCTATCTATCTATCTATCTATCTATCTATCTAGCATGCTAACCTGTTTGATTGTGCTTTGTGAGGCAGACCAATATTATTGCTGATTTACGTCACTGACACTTGACATAGACTTCATTTTTTATTCTGACATTGTGTTATTTTTCTAGAAGCCCTTCATGTATTTTCTTTTCTTGGTCCCCTGATAGAGACATATGGGAGGTAGTGGCTCAGATGGAACTGAAGATTCAGACTCCTCCGCTGAAAGAGAGCAGACAAACAGTTCAGAAAGTGATGGAAACATGACCAAGAGACAGCGCCTCACCAGAGCCTCTACTCGCCTTAGCCAAAGCTCTCAGGGTGGGTCTACATATCCTGTGTTTAAAAAAATGAAGGTTTACTTCATCTCAGGTGTTAAATCATAGCGACGATTTCACTTCTGATGCCTTAGATACCCCGGACTTGAAGCGAGCTACGGATCATGATGAATCTCCACCATTGACGCCGACAGGAAATGCCCCCTCCTCTGAATCTGAACTGGACATCTCCAGCCCCAACGCCTCCCACGATGAGAGTCAGGCCAAAGATCCGGCAAGTCGAGATTCTGATAAGGACCTCTCCCATCGCCCAAAACGCCGCCGCTGTCATGAGACGTACAACTTCAACATGAAATGCCCTACACCGGGATGCAATTCACTTGGTAAAATGCATTTAAATATTTAATGCAAAAGCTAATTAAGAGTATAACTGATTATTGATATAAAATCTAACATTGATTTTTAATCATTGACTTTTTTCTCTATCATAATGCCACAATCTCTTTTTCTACATTTCTCCAGGTCACCTCACAGGAAAACATGAACGTCATTTTGCTGTATCAGGTTGTCCACTTTATCACAATCTGTCTGCTGATGAATGCAAGGTGAGTGTCTTCAACAGAAATCTATTGATGTTTAAGTTGTTGGTCTGCTGAAATTTTATTTCCCTTTCAAGCATCATTTGCTCTGAGAGTGGCCGTATGAGTTGTTTGAATTCTTTTTGGGTGATTTTTGTAAGTTTTTCTCCTTTATCGTACATTATTATTATTATTGTTGTTGGTTTTTTATGATATTTACACATATTTTTCCAAACATCTTTTTCATTAAATACAGTGAGCTGCATTATTCCGTTTTATTAATTAGTATTTTTTAAAATGACCAATACAGAACTGTGTTTTTCTGTTTAACCTTGTTAGCTTGGGATTGTTCAAATCTTGTCTTTTTTCTTAACACGGACGATGATGTTCCCATTCCTCTCTATTTTAGGTGAAAGCCGTTAGCCGTGAGAAACAAGAGGAGGACGTGAAGCCTCAAGAAGAAAGCAATTCACGGCATGCAACCCGGCATCAGGTAGTCTATTAGTGGGATTATTGGCATTACAGTTGTGCTCATAAGTTTACATACCTACATACCTTTACATATATTTGTGATTTTTTTGGTCATTTTTCAGACAATATGAATGATAATACAAAAACTTTTCTTTCACTCATGGTTAGTGGTTGGGTGAAGCCATTTATTATCAAACAATTGTGTTTGCTCTTTTTAAATCATAATGACAACAGAAACTACCCAAATTACCCTGATCAAAAGTTTACATACCCTACTTCTTAATACCGTGTATTGCCCCTTTTGACATCAATTACACCTTGAAGTCTTTTGTGGTAGTTGTGGATGAGGCACTTAATTTTCTCAGGTGGTAAAGCTGCCCATTCTTCTTGGTAAAAAGCCTCCAGTTCCTGTAAATTCTTGGGCTTCTGGCGACTCGACCATGCAGCCCATTTTTCTTCAAGTGCCTCCTTATTGTGCATCTTGAAACAGCCACACCACTTTTTTTCAGTCCTGTATGTCAGCTGAAGTTATTTGTGGGTTTTTCAATTTTCCTGGCAGTTGTGGCTGAAATTTTTGTTGGTCTACCTGACCGTGGCTTGGTTTCAACAGAATACCTAATTTTCCACTTCCTAATTAGAGTTTGAACACTGCTAATTGGCATTCTCAAATCCTTGGATATCTTTTTAAATCCTTTTCCTGTTTTATAAAGTTCAACTACCTTCTCCCGCAGATCCTTTTATAATTCTTTTGCTTTCCCCATGGCTCGGAATCCAGCAACGTTAGTGCAGCACTGGATGAAACATGCAGGGGTCTGTCAGGAGCCCAGAAACTCACTGACTTTTTATACACACACTGATTACAAGCAAACAGATCACAGGTGAGGTTACCTTCAGTAGCCATTTAGACCCGTGTGTGTCAACTTGTGTGTATGTTATCTGGCCAAAACCTCCAGGGTATGTAAACTTTTGATCAGGGTAATTTGGGTAGTTTCTGTTGTTATAATGATTTAAAAAGAGCAAACACAATTGTTTGATAATAAATGGCTTTACCCAACCACTAACCAAGAGTGAAAGAAACATTTTTGTACTATCATTCATATTGTCTGAAAAATGACCAAAAAAATCACAATTAACATTAATTAATGCTGCTGAGTTACCAAACAGACTTTCTAACGTGCTGACAATATGATTCAAATTAAAGTCACAGTTGTTATTGTGAAGCAGGGATCATAACATCAAAGTCGATTGTATTTCTATCTGATTTTTTTAGACCCCAACATCGAAACAGAGCAGATACAAAGAGCAGGTGGCTGAGATGAGGAAAGGAAGAAACTCTAGCCTTCAGAAGGAGCAGAAGGAAAAACACATGGTACATTACTGGCACTCCAACATGAAGTTGCTCACTTGCAGTTGTGCGTTCCATATCATTTAAGGGACTCTGTTGTTATATATTCTGTCTGGTCCACAGGAGCATCGGCAGACGCACGGCAACACCAGAGAGCCTCTGCTAGAGAACATCACCAGTGATTACGATCTGGAGCTCTTCAGAAAAGCACAAGCCCGGGCATCTGAAGATCTGGTAATGAGCTCTTTCATGTGTCATACTGAAATAATCGGTTATAAAAAAAGACATATAGCATATACTAAGAGCAGGTGTAACCCCCCCCTTTATGTCCTTTCTGCAGGAGAAGCTGCGTATCCAGGGTCAGATCACTGAGGGCAGCAACATGATCAAGACCATCCTGTTTGGCCGCTACGAGCTGGACACCTGGTACCACTCACCATATCCTGAGGAGTATGCTCGCCTGGGTCGCCTCTACGTCTGCGAGTTCTGCCTGAAGTACATGAAGAGCCAAACCATTCTCAGGAGACACATGGTGAGAGAGAGTCTGATACACCATGAATGCCACACTAAATGCTCCTCAGCTTTTGCTAATATTTCTTTAATAATGTCGCTGATATGTGTGGTGTTAAATGTCCTCTCAGGCTAAGTGTGTGTGGAAGCATCCTCCAGGAGACGAGGTGTACAGAAAGGGAGCGATATCTGTGTTTGAAGTTGACGGGAAAAAGAACAAGGTAGGTGGACTCACTTGTCAATATTGGTCGACTGGTTACATCCAGGCCAGTGAAGCAAACATCTCAGTGACGTCTCATCTTATGAACAAAAAAACCATAATGAAGGGAGTGGCTGTTATTCAACCCGCAGATCTACTGCCAGAACCTGTGTTTACTTGCCAAGCTCTTCTTGGACCACAAAACGCTCTATTATGATGTGGAGCCGTTTCTGTTCTACGTCATGACTGAGGCCGACAACACGGGCTGCCATTTAGTGGGATACTTCTCCAAGGTAAATGAAGGAAACACATGTGGCATGCATATGCTGTTTATTTAAGTGCATTTGTTGTAGAAAATGTTTGTTCTTTGTAGTAGTAACTTGAATGGTTTTCCTTTTTTTTTTAATTCACAAAGGAGAAGAATTCTTTCCTGAACTACAACGTTTCCTGTATCCTGACAATGCCACAGTACATGAGGCAGGGCTTTGGAAAGATGCTCATTGACTTCAGTATGTATCCATATTCATATAACCAATAACTGTCTCCCCTTCTTTTATTAAAGAGACAAAAATAGCTTAAATAAGTGTTGACCAATGCAAAGAACATTTCTCTTACACTACCTGATCCAATGGTCAGAAAGCGATGGAGGTTCTAAGCAGACATGCATCCATACATTGTATTTTCTGTTTTCCTGTCATACAAAGTCATTTCCAGTTCTCTCTAGATTTCTACTTGTTGATCTTGTTGATTTCCCTAGAGATGCAATGGGAGCATGGCATTGCCTATCACAGTGACCAGCCTGTTTGTTGATGTTTAGATCACCAAGAAATGTCCCTGTAATCATGGGGAAAATCAGCTTTGCTTTGTCGTGCTAACAAGATCAAGAAGTTGACATCTTAAGATAACATATGGGAAAACTAACGGAGTAAAAAAAAAAAAAAAAAAGATAAGACAAGTGTCCATTTTGGGTTTGCGTAATAAAATCCCCCAGAGGAAATCACTGTGACTGAATTATCTTTATGGTTTGTTTGCACCGTAACAAAGAGTGTTCCCGTCATACTTCCCTGCTTGTTCAAGGCTACCTGCTGTCCAAAGTGGAAGAGAAGGTCGGCTCACCAGAGAGGCCTCTGTCTGACCTGGGCCTCATCAGCTACCGAAGCTACTGGAAGGAAGTGCTACTCAGATACATGTACAACTTCCAAGGCAAAGAGATCTCCATCAAAGGTAACAGAAGTCAAACAGCACATGTTGATGGGAAAAAAGTTTATTAACACATGAGAAGATCGATGAGGAAAAGACACACACATGCATACATAGCTAACCTATTTGTTGTTGATGTTTGATGCACAGAGATCAGTCAGGAGACTGCTGTTAATCCGGTGGACATTGTGAGCACCCTGCAGTCTCTACAGATGCTGAAGTATTGGAAGGGGAAGCACTTGGTGTTAAAACGACAGGTAGGATTTACTAATGATGAAATGTTTCATCTCTCTTAGTCATTTATATCTCCTGTGAGAAGTTTTTAACTGGACTGAAATTACAAATGATGCCTCCTTTAGACCTTTCAGAGCAAACAAGACCATCACTGACAAGTTTGATTATTTCTACATAATTATTTATATTGCTTATAACGCCTGCCATTGGCGAGGTGTCGGGTTAGATTGTTTAAACCCAGTTGAAGAAAATCCAGAGCAAAGGTTCACAGTGTGAGAGATATATTTGACTGTTATAGGACAGCAAGATGATATATTTTTTGTCAGAAAACCATACCTAAAATGCACATGAAAAAATAAGCAAAGAGATAAGATACTCTGTGTTGTCCATAGGGGGAGCCAAACTCAACACAAACCCAATGTTCCTTATTGGAGCCTTAAATAAAGCATAAAGTTCATAAATCAAGATTATTCTGTTGGATTATTTATACCTAAATAAAGAGTTAAATATCAATTTCCTTCAGATATATACCTACTTCCTGTTACCACTGTTGTTAATATAATTGACTATATAAGCATTTTTTTATATACTCCAGTCTTAATGCTTTTTCCTGTTAAACAAACAACGTCTTTATCTTCCTGCTAGGATCTGATAGACGAGTGGAAGGCAAAGGAGATCAAGCGAGGCAATAGCAACAAAACCATCGACCCGAGCTCACTGAAGTGGACCCCTCCCAAAGGGACATAAGCACTAAGAACCCTCAGGCTACTGAATGAACTCACCTCCAGCCTCACCAGCCACAAGTAGCCTAAACCCACAAAACTGTCAATAAAAGACCAGTGCTCTGTCTTTCTATCATGTTCATCACATCTTTCATTTTTTTTGTCTGAACCCTTTTTTATTTTATATTTTACTTTTGTTTATATTTTTAAAAACATCATATGTTACAAATCAGACAAATTACTTAGTCCACAGTAGAGTCTTCTTTGTCCTATTTCTTTTAAAACGGCCTACTTTAAGCTTTGAATGTTGAAATGTCCAACGTGGTGGATAACATGAATGTTCTGCTCTTTCATTGAAAAAAAAAAAAGAAAACATACATTCTTACTGCATTTGACGGCTGTTTTTTTTGTTGTTGATAAATACAGTAACTGTCGGCATGAAATGAAAATGCAAGCAGAGTGTATTCTGGGAAATGGTGTACGGTGACGTCTTTGGTTGGTGTAAAATTGTATAGATAAGTGTGTACTTCTTTTTCTCCAGCTCCTTCAGTACAGTATTTGGAACCATTCCTCTGAAGAACCTGCCAAATAATAGTGCAGTAATCAGATCCTTTTTCATTTTCAAGGGGGGGAGGACATATTAAGACGCTACCACTGTAAGAAATGCACATTGAAATAAAAACAACCTCAGGTTTTTATACGGACTCAATCATACCTTGCTTGTGTGGTTTCTCCAAAACATCGGGCGCAGCGGTTGTGGCAGACGGACTTCCTCTGGTTAAAGAATCTGATCAACAGGAAACATTTGACTGTTCATAATTTGTACTATAAATCATGGATGTTAAATGTGTATTAGCAATTTGATATTTTTAATATCAATAAAGCTGCCTTTAATTTTGAACGATTTGCTTTTTGTGCTTACTGTCTCTTGAAATGCTTCTTCCCATCAGGCCCACAAACATTTCTCCTTTATTTCCTACAAAGTGTGAGGAACATTTTAAATCAACGACGTAGTCTTGTGATTAAATCGAAATAATGGCCATTCAGAGACACAGATATATAAGGCGTTTTCAGACTGCAGAGACTTTTTCATAGTTCTAGGAACTTGGATCCCCTCTGCCCTTTTTTTAATCAATTCCACACCACAGGAACTATGAACTATTTAAAAAAAGAGGAACTTTTTTAGCTCCTGCTTCAGGATGATGGTGTAGCGAATGTGGACAGAAAAAAAAAGTCTGCATGGTGTGTAGTTCTCAGGGAACTTCTTAGTGAATAGTTCCTTTTCAAAAGAACTGTTTGGTCTGAAAACACCTCTAATATCTGGGCTGAGTGGTGCTGTCACATTTTGCTTCAGTTTCAAACAACATCAAGCTACTTACTTCTTTTCTCTTGAAAAGGTTTCTTTTCACCTGTGAGGGCCAAAGAGAAACCAACTTTATTAAAACACATACAATACTGCATAAAGAGCTCTTTAAACATTACTTTTCATTATGTGTGTGTTTTTTAACCTCCTGAGCGTTTCCCCATCAGTCCGTAGAAGCGGAGGGCTTTAGCTCTTTTCATCAGCGTGGTCAACGGGAGGGTCAGATCTGCCTCCACTGACTCGTCCTGGCAAAAAAAACATGAAATGATTTGTAGAAATGTCAGGGAAAAAAAAGGATTATAAAAATGTATTTTCTTCATCAATATGCCCTTCTTTGTTATAAAAACCACACTGTACATAGTCTCTTTATTTAGTATTCTTCTTGAAGCAGGAATTAAAGCAAGTGTGTGCAGTACAATAAAACATTTGTTTCACAGTTTCATCCCTCTCTTTCAATAACAGCAATGCCTACCTGCCAGTCTTCAGATAACCCTCTCTCCTCGTCCACTGAAGATGCCTGATACATTTGAACCAAAGCACAAAATGTCACAAAAACCAGCTGGAGCTTCCATTTATCCATCTCTTCATCCACCTCTGTCTCTTCAATCAAAAGAGCTGGGGAAAAACACAACTAGAAAAAGTGCCCTGGGTTAATGTGAAAGTGTCCTCCTGTCTGTCTCATCTGTTTTTAGGTTGCATTTATACCTCTAAACCCCACGCTGACAGACCCCTCCCCTTTAAACATGGCTATGCTCATGCTTCCAATTTCTTTGCAAACTCTCATAACTGCTTATATAAGGGGTATTAAATTAAAATAAAGAATTTCCTGTAATAACACATACAAATCTTACAAATCAAATATGTTTTCAAGTGAAAAAAATGAATGTCTTTTACTGGAACCACTTTACAAACCAAAGATTTACTAGCAGAAGAAATCCTTCATGTTCAATATAATTTCACCTGAAATGTTTACATTTTGTATGGTCACCTTTCATCTCCATTTTTATTATACATCTGGATCGCTATTGGTCTAAAAATATTCCCCAGTTGCTCATTTGTGACGTTGTGATGTGCACATGCTTCTTTGATATCAGCGAGGGGACGTAGGCAGGAGTCTTTGAGCAACGCTCTGCAAATATAACCATCTGCTTTGAAGGTAGAGCTTTATGAGTCGGCCAGTTGACTCTGCTGGATTACTGCTTGTTCTGGGTTTATAAAACAGGGTGATAAAGACGCAGATATCAATGATGAAATGAGCTACATATGATCAGATGTCAAGCAGATGATAGGAAAGATTATTTTCTGAACTTCTACAAAAAGGTTTTTGACTTTTTTTTAATGAAATATTAATCAGAATCAGAATCAGAATCAGGGTTTATTGCCAAGTACATTTACACACACAAGGAATTTAACTTGGTGTATTGGAGCTAAACAGTTAACAAGGAAATAAAGCAGAACTAGCAACAACTTAAATAATACAGTATAAGAAGCTATTACAATATATAAAATAGAATTTAAAAATGTAAAATATAAAATATAAAAAATAAAAATAAAAAACACAAAATGTACAAAAGGTGTGCATAGTGTGTAACACACTAAGAAATGAAATTTATTGCACATCCAGTCCAAAAAATAAGCAGAAAAATCAATATTTTTTAATTTTAAGGAGCTTTCTGATGAACATTTTTCAGTAGGATTATGTATTTTTCATCTCCTGAGATAACAACCTTGTTATTTAACATTTTTTACGATCTTTACTAACTTAGCTGTGTTTTAATAAATGCCGAGCCCTTATTCCAACAATGCAGCTATAGAAATTTCTGGAGAGGCAATTACTTGACAATCTGTGTGCTGTAAGGACGCCCACTCGAGACAAAGCTGACAAACACATTGGATGCTTTGATCCACACACAGGTGCTTCTAAAAGCAAGAGACAGCCCGGGACAATTAGGGCCTGAAAGGCAATTAGACCTGAACAACCATCATGTGCGGGCAGGCTGACCCACGTCTAATGTAGAGAGCTGAATCAAAAGGAATCAGAAGGAAAACATTTGCATGTGAAAGGATTCAGTCACAAAGAGCTGCTGTAATGACAGGAAGCCGCATTTCCATCATGTGACGCAGGGAAAAAGTTCTGAATCGTGGTTCAGGATTTTCAGTCTGATTGTGAGTCAGATGTTCCCGGCTGGTCACATTCACTCTTCTAGTGTTTGAACAAGATTTGAACTCTCAGATAAATCAAGTGGTGCAAAACAAAGGTGATAATGGGCAAAGGGGGACCGTCATCTTCAGAGAGTTCTGATTGTACAGGAAACATGTTACATTGATTGGTGAGCGTTGACTCCTTACAGGTGTAACATGGGATATGTGATTGTCAGAGAAACCTGACAACTTGTTTTGCCTGGATCTTTGGTGCAGGGATAGTAAGGAGATCTGCTTTGCTTTGTTTAGGAAACCAGTGACTTTCCATAGAAATGTGTTGTTTTTAGGATTGGGTTGATTTTGAAATAAACAGTTACTCTAATCACAGGCAGGCTTACAATTCTTCATTTTGCTGATAACAGGTTGTCTGCTGGGTTTGGAAGCAGAGTCTGTGCAATAATTTTTTTTTGCTGGCAAATTAAAAAAAACCCATAGGTAATAAGATTAAAATATATAAAACCAGAGCTGCATGATCTGGATCATTCAGGCCCTTGTTGTTAAAGGTAACGTATAGGCAATTGACTTTGGGTACACTGATTTTTGGGGGGCAATTTCATGTCTTTATTTCATAACTAACAGAAAAAAAATGATTCAGGAGAGAGTTAGATGGGCACTTACACACAGAAAACATTCCAAATCCAAATCAACCCGGGATATTGCAATTTATGGTCCACGGTCTACAAGTGCTCCAAAAATGAATTGGATATCTAGAGTATGGAAATTGTCTACAAATCTGTTATTGAGTTTAAATGCAGGAAACATGGGACCTATGACCCAGTCCAAAATGACTTATGATCCAGTCCAGAATGACTGAAACTAGTCCCATACATATAGTCCCCTCAGTCATCTATATAAGCTATATATATATATATATATATATACAGTGGGTATGGAAAGTATTCAGACCCATTCACATTTTTCACTCTTTGTTTCATTGCAGCCATTTGCTAAAATCAAAAAAGTTCATTTTATTTCTCATTAATGTACACTCACCCCATCTTGACAGAAAAAAAACAGAAATGTAGACATTTTTGCAAATTTATTAAAAAAGAAAAACTGAAATATCACATGGTCATAAGTATTCAGTCCCTTTGCTGTGACACTCATATTTAACTCACATGCTGTCCATTTCTTCTGATCCTCCTTGAGATGGTTCTGCTCCTTCATTGGAGTCCAGCTGTGTTTAATTAAACTGATTGGACTTGATTAGGAAAGGCACACACCTGTCTATATAAGACCTTACAGCTCACAGTGCATGTCAGAGCAAATGCGAATCATGAGGTCGAAGGAACTACCCAAGGAGCTCAGAGACAGAATTGTGGCAAGGCACAGATCTGGCCAAGGTTACAAAAGAATTTCTGCAGCACTCAAGGTTCCTAAGAGCACAGTGGCCTCCATAATCCTTAAATGGAAGAAGTTTGGGACGACCAGAACTCTTCCTAGACCTGGCCGTCCAGCCAAACTGAGCAATTGTGGGAGAAGAGCCTTGGTGAGAGAGGTAAAGAAGAACCCAAAGATCACTGTGGCTGAGCTCCAGAGATGCAGTAGGGAGATGGGAGAAAGTTCCACAAAGTCAACTATCACTGCAGCCCTCCACCAGTTGGGGCTTTATGGCAGAGTGGCCAGACGGAAGTCTCTCCTCAGTGCAAGACATATGAAAGCCTGCATAGAGTTTACCAAAAAACACATGAAGGACTCCCAGAAGATTCTCTGGTCTGATGAGACCAAGATTTAACTTTTTGGCTTTAATTCTAAGCGGTATGTGTGGAGAAAACCAGGCACTGCTCATCACCTGCCCAATACAATCCCAACAGTGAAACATGGTGGTGGCAGCATCATGCTATGGGGGTGTTTTTCAGCTGCAGGGACAGGACGACTGGTTGCAATTGAAGGAAAGATGAATGCGGCCAAGTACAGAGATATCCTGGAAGAAAACCTCTTCCAGAGTGCTCAGGACCTCAGCCTGGGCCGAAGGTTCACCTTCCAACAAGACAATGACCCTAAGCACACAGCTAAAATAACAAAGGAGTGGCTTCGGAACAACTCTGTGACCATTCTTGACTGGCCCAGCCAGAGCCCTGACCTAAACCCAATTGAGCATCTCTGGAGAGACCTGAAAATGGCTGTCCACCAACGTTCATCATCCAACCTGACAGAACTGGAGAGGATCTGCAAGTAAGAATGGCAGAGGATCCCCAAATCCAGGTGTGAAAAACTTGTTGCATCATTCCCAAGAAGACTCATGGCTGTACTAGCTCAAAAGGGTGCTTCTACTCAATACTGAATACTTATGACCATGTGATATTTCAGTTTTTCTTTTTTAATAAATTTGCAAA